GTCGGCGCCGACAGAAGAGGACGGTTGTCTCCTGGAAGAACCGCAGCATCGGCTCAATTCCTTTTAAGGCCGAGGCGTTGGCTCCAGAGCCATGTGTCGTTGTGATATCGCCTCAAGAGAGTACGCTGGTAGGAGGACCAAGGCAGAAGAGGGACCAGAATAGAAGAGGCTCCAGGACGCTGGACGTGGCAGCGTGGTGTGGCATCCGGTCGAGGTGGACGCTGATTGGGTAATTGGACAGGCGTGAGAAAGCATTTCCCACACACGTGAGAAACAATTCCCACTCTGGCATTTCCACGACCGTAAATACGATGGAGGACAAGACCAAGCCGTCGCTCCGGTCGGTCATCAACAACCTGCAGTCGTGCTTGGACGAGATGCTGCCGGACCAGCTGCGCAACGAGTCGGCGACCATCTTCCAGCAGCACCGTGCGTAGCCCAGGCGATCCAGCGGTGCCTCATCCTACATGCCATGCGTAGTCGCGACGCAGCGGGACAAGGGCCCGTCCGAGCGCACGACGTGGAAGGGCGGCCTCTACTACCGCTACATCCTCGAAGCCCTCAAAGTCGTACGTACCCAGCGCTCTTAACGCCGTGTCACGGCCTCGTAGCACCGCGAATGGTACAACCGCAACCAGCAGTACGTGCAGCTCAAGAAGGACGAGAAGCGGCTCGAAGCCCACGTGGCGACCTTGCGCAGCATGTACGTGCGTTGACGTCGTATGCGATCTCACGTGTCGATATAGCATGGCCTCGTCTTTAAGCACACTCGAGCTCGAGGTGGGGCTCCGCGAGGCTGAGCTCGAGGGCCGCGTCGGGACGTACAAGGTCATGTTTGAGGTCTCCAAGATTGCTTCCGCGCTCAGCCGTCCTCTTGTCAAGCTGCAGGTAGAGTCGTTCGATCGCGTACACGCTAATGACCGTCGTTGCAGGTCTTGAAGCCGAACGACTCGTCCATCTCGATCTACTGCGACACGTTTGTCCTGGATATCATCCTCTCGGGCGGCGACGTACGTCCCGTCTTCCTCTCGCACGATGGCTGCATGCTCTCTGTAGGGCGAGATTGAGTCGACGACGCTCGTCACCGTCATCAAAGGTCCGAGCATCCACCACCGACGTCGTGCAAAATGAATCTATGTAGAGCAATCGAGTCAGTTTCCCGAGCGCGACGAAGACCTCCTTCGGAGCCTCCAGGCGCTTGTGGCTGGCGACAGCCAACCGTTTACGACCAAGCTCTATCGGCTCGTGAACCGTGCCGAGCTCGCCGTCAAGTTCCCGCAGAGTACGACGTCGCGTCGCATGCTCGTTGTCTCAACCGCTCGTAGCCAACTTTGACAAGCTCGAAAATGAAATGTTTGCGATGCTGCAGCAAGTCTGCGCGCGCTCGGTACCCTCCATCTCTCTATCTTCTTCTGACGAGTGGATGCTAGCCAAAATGGAGCATTGCGCGCGGCGTCGACGGCGTCCTCATCACGTTCAAGGACGAGCTCCAGTGCTTCCCACTCTTCGACGAGCCGCCGCAAAAGCGCGCCAAGCGGGCGCACGACGAGGACGTAGACGCGAGCGCCGACCGCGGCGGCTGGCGCGAGTGGACGGGCTGCGTCACGTTCACCGAGTGGAAGAGCTCGGTGGTCATGCACGTGCTCTGCGACACGCCGCTCATCATGTCGGGCATCCAGTCGCGCCGGCTCGCGGCCACGATCCTCGGTTACCAAGACGAGTTGCGCGAGAAGGCGTTCATGGAGCTCGCCAACAAGGCGCCGTCGGCCACCAAGACCAAGGAAGACAAGAGCGCGTTTCCGATCTCGCTCGAGTCCCACTTGCGCTTTGTGCGCGAGGGCAGCACCAACATCGTGCTCTCGGCGACGCAGAACATGGGGCTCGTCCTCGACTGCGCGCTCGTGACCAAGGAGATTGCGGGCGGTGTGCATTTCCACGCCTTCCCCATCCCGGTAGCACCTGCAAGACCCTCTTTTTCGGCGCTCAATGGCAGGATGTAGATGCTGCAAGCGTCGACGGACAGCCTCGTGCGCATCTTTGGGGTCGTGGGCCACAGCCTGTTCTTCCAGTCGATCCTCGCGAGCTGCTTTCTCGGGCGCCGCAATGTCTTTGGCCGCAACGAAGTTCTCGAAATGGACAATGGCGCCATGACCAAAGGTAGGACGACTCCCAACGCGTTCTCTGTGCCGAGTCGCTGATCTATGGTTTGCAGTCGCGATGCAAGTCGAGGTCGCAGCGCCGACGTCGATGACGCTCAAGCTCACGAGCGACGTGCTGGAGGGCGAGAGCTTCCACATTGAGGTCGAGACGAAGGAGGACTACTCGATGCACGTGCGGCTGCGCAACCACCCGGCGCTCAACGCGGCGGCCGCGCAGATCGCGTCGGCGTGTCACTCGCTGCCGCTGCTCTGCTACTTTCTCTTGCAGTCGTCCATGAAGAGCGCCATGATGCTCGCCGACACGCTCCCCGAAAAGCTCGCGACCGACGTCGACGCGCTCGAGAATGACGCGGGCGACGTGGTCGACGACGACGACATGGCCGTCGGCAACGACATTCTCCTCGACGACGAAAACTTTTATTAACGCAGCGTACGAGTAATACCGTACGATCCATTGCCTCGGATAGATGCGTGTCGATGGCGCAGACATGCTGACAGTGTGCACAGAGTCGTCTATTGTATTTTGTGGCGAATTTGACGCTTGTACGCAGCCCACGATGACGCGACGCGGTGTTTCGGACTCGCCAAAGTGTACTTTATTGTCTTGCAAAGCTTGAGCGATTTCAGTTTGGGAGGCACGAGGTGGCGTCGAGCTGGTCGAGCGGCGGCGGTGGGTGCTGCCAAGGCGTTCTCTCCATTCATTGGTCAAAATGATTTTGAAATGCGGCCAATCAAATCAAGATTGACCGACGAGCAATGAGTTGGTTGAAGCATATTCAAGCTGCCACCGCTCCATGCATCAGAGCTCCATGTTACCGGTGTGATCCCAACAACGACCACAGTATGCATTGCCACGTCAAACTCACTAATGTTACAAGCCTTAGCTGTAGCAAGAACCGGCAACTTGGGCGCCAGGACCGCCAGCGCTACGAGGCTGTTGCTGGGAGTATGGCCAAGCCGCTGTGTGTGGCCGAGACGATCGCGACAAAGGCTAGCCCACAAGCAAGCATGACCGCCGGTCGTTTGCTCGTTCCATCGAGGCTATCGAGGGCTTGCAGCGACCGGAGGGCGTTCGCGTTGGCCGGAAGCAGTCCAAGACTCAACAACCCAAAGAGTCGGATCGCGTACGACGCTGCAAAGCTGAGCGAGACGTTCCGACGCACGATCGCGTCGTCGCGGCCCACAGCGAGCTGACTTGGCGCAAAAATATGAGTGTCCAGAATGCGCGCCAGCGACGATGCAGCTGCCGAGCCGACGATCGACGCGCTCGAGAGCAAGACGCTCGTGGTATCGTCGGATGAGACCCACTGCGTCACGGCCAGCTCGAGGCCGATTGGAACCGCCGACGCCAAGCGCGCGCCGGCAAACGCCCACTGGTCACGGCGACCATGCCAGATCGTGCGAAAGACCGTGGTCGCGTCCAGCAGCACGGCGACGATCGATCCACCGACCAGGATTCGCCGCCAGTCACTGATGCGTGCGTGCGCTCCGAGCAAGTGCGCAATGCACATCGCTAGTACCGTGGCCACGAGCCGAGCAAGGGCGTCACTGAGCGGCTCGACGTGCGCCCAGGCCACTGCGATGGGTGCGAGTGCGGTCGACTCGAAGCGGCTGCTTGCGCCAAAGACGAACTCAAAGACGCAGAGTTGCCACACGCTACGTCGCTGGAGAAGATCCCAGGTACTCGATGTTGCTTCCCGCGGCGTTGTGGCGCCAGCTGTCGCAATCGCCGCCAGCGCGGGCCCAAGACACAGCAGGTACGCTGCGTTGGGTGCCATCGACAACGCAAACGAGCCGCCAAAGGCCGGGCCGTTGAGTGCGAGCGCAGAGTGCCCATAGGCCACGACAGCGCCAAGGTGTCGGTAGACGCAGGTAGGCCGCGGCGCGCTGCCAATTACGGCACCGAGCACGACGAGCGCCGACAAGAGAACGTAGACGGCCGCACTCGCTGGTGCATCGCTGTTGTAGTGCGGCCAGCGCTCGTCCGCTGCTTGCGTAAGACCGCGCGGACAGAGCACGAAGCGGACGTCGCAGTACGGTGCTGGAAATGGCTCAACGACCATGAGCCCGAGGCAAACGGCCGAGAGAGACCAGCCAAGTAGCACGTGCTGTGGCGTGTGGGACGTGGGCGAAAGGAGCATCGGCAGCGTGATGAGCGTCGCGTAGGCCGTTGTTTGGTAGCCCTCCATGCGCAAGTACGTGTTGTAGACAGGCACTTGGAGGCACAGCAGAATAGCGTGGACGTAGCCGAACGCGAACGAGTGAAAGCGGTCGGCGTTGCCGCGGTGGGCCTTGGGCGGCGGGGCAGTTGTCGTCGGTAGGACCTTGTACGTGGCCATCCTCTTTACTGGGAACGGTGGCTGGCTGCGTTGTCGAATGGAATGGTGGTTGAAGTTGATGAAAATATATCTGGATCTTTTGATATCCTAGATTGTTGGCTTCTTCGAGACTGTGACGATGGAAGGCAGGAGCTGCAGACCGCATTGAGATGTGTGTTTCGGGGCACTATCGTAGGGATGAAAGTAGGTTTCCTTGTGCAATGCCACCAGTTGCGGGGCGCTGAGGGCGGTCCTTCCTGCGACGAGTGTGTGGACTGCAACGGACATGTCGCATGTATCTAGATACCGCTCGGACACACTTCTCGGACTCTCTGCGTCGAGCTAATGTGTACTGGAGTCTTCTTCCGTGCAATGCGATTCGGAACTCGCAGAGTTCAAGCGTGCGACGGCTGCCACGTACTGCTAAACGCTGTTATGAAGGAGTTGCGCCATCTCAGCAGCTTAAGAGGCGTCGGTCTTAGATCTTTAAATCTTGGACTTGGGGGCGCCGCCACCGCGGTACTTGAAGCCGCGGTTCGTGATGATCATGACGCCACCCGAGTTGTCGACGTCCGTAATGAGCTGCACGACGCCTTGCGCAACGAACTCGGGCGTCATAAGGTCGCCGAAGACCTTTGTCATGCCCGGCTTGGACTCTTCGGCCGCGCGACCCATCGCGGTGTCGGCAAACGACGGGCAGATCGAGACGACGCGGACGCCGGTCGCCTTGACGTGCTTGCCGACGGCCGTCGAGAACGCGACCACCGCCGCCTTGGACGTCGAGTACTCGGGTGCCTCGACGACAGGCCAAATGGCCGAGACGCTCGAGATGTTGACGACAATAGGCGCCATCGCCGGCTTGGCCGCGAGCCGACGCAGCGCAACCTAGGCATAGCGCTTCATAGGAAAGGATGCCGCAGCAGCAGCGCAGTACCTGTGTGCCCCGCATGACGGCAACGACGTTGATCTCCATGAGCTTCTTCCAGCCCGCAGCGCCTGCGTCCTCGTAGAACGAGTTCATCGGAACCGCAATGCCAGCGTTGTTGACGAGGACGTTCACGGGTCCGAAGCGGCGCTCGGCTTCGTCAAAGGCCGCGGCGAACGAGTCCTCTTCGCACACGTCTTGACGCATTGAGGCGACGCGTCCCGGGTGCTTGCCCTCGAGCGCACGGCAGCTCGCAGCGCAGGCGTCGCCGTTGATGTCTGTCATGAGCACGCGCGCGCCTTGGGCGAGGAGCGCTGTCGCAAAGGCGAGGCCAAGGCCCTGCCCCGCACCCGTGATGATCGCCGTCACGTCGTTCATGTTGGATTCTGCGGCTCGACTTGAAGTTTGGATTATTCACGCCGTGTGTTTTTCACGTTAAAAACACAATGTGATTAAGTCAATTCGCCTATACAGTACCTAATCCGTGATCCAAACCATGGATCAATGGGGTTCAACCTGCGCGCATCTCGAGAACACGCCACAAGAAAGATGTTATGTACCACACTGCATGGCGAGCGCTTGTTCGGCGCGATTCTCTCAATGCCACTTCGATTGGAAGAAATGCTTTTAGGACACGTAAAGGTGCAGTGTACTTATCCTAGTGAATTGCACGGCCAGGTGCCGGTCCTAATCATGTATTGAAATCGGCGCCGCCAACGAATCCGACCCAGACAGGCAGCTCCAACAACAATGACCAAGCCCCGTTGACCAAGCCCAAGCCTTTTCAGCTACGAGTTCTGCTTACCGGTACAATATGCACACTGTACGCAACCACACACCTCATCAAGTACTAGTACTCTTCTTGGTTTTTGGATGAATTAGAACTTAAAGCTTGGCGGGATGGTACCCGACGTGCTGCGTTGTCACCAACATCGCTTTGCCCGCGTTCGTCTCGTCGAGAAGGACTTTCTTGAAGGCGTCGGCTGCGTACTCGGTGGTCATGAGGCCGCCAAAGGCCTCGATCATCCGCGCGGAGTTCTGCAAAACGACTTGCACCATGGGCGTATCGACAAAGGCGGGGCAGAGCGAGACGAGGCGAACGTCGCTTGCGTGCTTGGCAACCGCGCGCGTGAAGTGAACGACGGCACACTTGGTCGTGCCGTATTCGGGGACGACGTGCGTGGGCTTGAACGCAGCGGCGCTGGCAACGTTGACAATGACGCCGGGCTTGGCGAGGCGACGCAGCGCCACCTAAAGAGAGATAGCGATGATGCAGGCAACAGAGAGCGACGCAAAGAGAGGCAGGCACCTGGGTGCCGCGCATGACCGCGATGAGGTTGACGTCGACGAGCTTGCGCCACGCGGCGCTGTCGTCGTAGAAGTCAAAGTACTTGCCGTTGAGACCTGCGTTGTTCACGAGCAGGTTAACGCGATGGTCGCCAAAGTGCTTGTTGGCAGCGTCAAAGATCGCATCAAACGACGTGTCGTCCGTGACGTCCTGCATGGCGTAGCCCACGCGCGCCGCTGAGAACTGGGCCGTGAGCGCCCGCGCCGCATCGACGAGCACCGTGTGGTTGATGTCGGTGAGGAAGACGCGGCCGCCACCCTCGAGGATCGACTTGGAGAAGGCGAGGCCAAGGCCTTGAGCGGCGCCAGTGACGATGCCGACAACGTGCTCATGTTGCATCTTCTTCGCCGGTCGAAATGATTTCTGCATTTTACACGTGAAAATTGACATGTGAAAAAAGCAACCCAGATGATGATGCAATCGTCCAACTTCAACGAGGTGACGAGCCCGCGTCGCTCGAAGATCGACCGCAGGACGCTCGCTCCAGCTGGGCAAGACTGTCCAGAAACACTGCACAAAAGTATTACTGATAGATCATACTAGCTAAGGCTTGTCGCCGTGGTAGCCCACATGGCGCGGGGTCACGAGGAGCGCTTTGCCAGCGTTCGTCTCGTCAAGCAACGACGTCTTGAAGATCTCGGCCGTATATTCGGGCGTGAGGAGACCGCCAAAGGCCTCGACGACCTGCGGCGAGCCCTTGAGCGCGACTTGGCCCATCGGCGTGTCGACAAACGCGGGGCAGAACGCCGTGACGCGAATGTCCTTGGCTTGGTGCGCGATCGCCTGCGTAAAGTTGACGACGGCACCCTTCGTGACGCCGTACTCGGGGATCGGCGGCGTCGGCTGGAACGCGGCGGCGCTGGCGACGTTGACGATGACGCCGGGCTTGGCGAGGCGGTGCAGCGCGACCTACACATCGTGTTTGCAGGCGAGGTGATGCGACACAACAATCTCTCTACCTGCGTCCCGCGCATGACGGAGATGAGGTTGACCTCGATCGTCTTGCGCCAGGCAGTGCTTTCGCTGTAGAACTCGTGGTACTTGCAGCTCACGCCGGCGTTGTTGACGAGGAGGTTGACAAGGTCCGCGTCAAAATGCTTGTTGGCGGCGTCAAATATCGCATCAAACGACGCGTCGTCCGTGACGTCCTGCACGGCGTAGCCCACGCGTGCGACCGAGTGGCGGGCCTGGAGCGCCCGCGCCGCATCGACGAGCACCGTGTGGTTGATGTCGGTGAGGAAGACGCGGCCGCCACCCTCGAGGATCGACTTGGAGAAGGCGAGGCCAAGGCCTTGAGCGGCGCCCGTGACGATACCAACGGTGTTCTTGAGCTGCATCTGCGTTGCTGGTGGCAAATTCAAAATTGACGACGTCCCGCAAGGTAACGTGATGTCATTGGGTGTCAGTGATATGTCTTTGATTCGCAATCACATGGACCATTCACTGCTTGATTCGAGCTGCAACGCGGGCTGAAAGGTAGACAAAGGTCAAAAGAGCTCACGGATGTATTCTGTCGGGCATGGAGGCGCCTGTTCCAGTGCTAGCTTCGGGTGTTGAGGGATTAACGAGTAGCCCAATTGGCAGCAACGTGTAGTACACTGTACGACGACGCGTTATGTAATGTGCAGCCATGTGGTGCAGCTCAATTGAAGCAACACGCTCCAAACGTGCTCTGGTCTTTCCTCATGAAGGTCTAAGAGACAGAAGAGACGACGCTCCACGTCCAAAAGTATTCTACGCTGTCGTGGTATCTTCTGCCCAGTATGCGCGCCCGAGCCGCGCGATGGTGCACGACGAAGACGCTTCCGACGTTGCTCTACAACTGTGGCACTTGTCAATCGGGACCACAATCGACACATTCTATCACTCGCAACCCAATCAAGATGTATCTCATTGACGATTGCCACAATCCCAATTCCCACTATTCCATGACAACCTTCTGCAGCATGGTCCTAGCGCACGCTGAGATCGCATAGCTCATCTTCAACCACTTCGTTGACTTTGTCTCGGGAATCGCGCAGCCTGGAACTACCCCCCGTGTCCGACCTCGGGCTCATCACGATGCACTTGCTCTCGATCGGACAAACGCTGCAGAAAACCGCGGGGACTTTTCGATCATCACAAGATAGCGATCGTCGGGCGTTCTGGAAATCGCTGCCTTTTTCATCGAGCGCGGCGCCGTGCTCGGAGCTACCTGGATGATCAGCGCATGCAAGCGAGGCGATATGGACGTCGTCGTCTACCTCCACGAACACGGCGCAGAACCATCGCCAAAAGCTCTCGACGAAGCCGTGCACAACGACGAGTGGGCCATCGTCGAGTTTCTTATGGTCCATCGAACCGAAGGCGCGACTCTCGATGGCATCCGGTTTGGGGTAATCCGCGGCAAGTTTGATCTCGTCACGCGTCTCTGGGAGATTCAGCCCGAGCTCCGCAACGATGCCGTTTTACAGGCTGCTTACGACATCACAACCAACACCCGAAACCATCCAATTTCTTCCCCAAGCGGGGGTCGGGACTCCTCGCGCTTTCCTCACAAGTTTGCTTGGGTTATGGCTGCACCCAACGGTGCTCCAAGCTCTTCTGCGCTACACCATGGATGCACCAACGCCAATCGAGAACCTCACCTTCCTCACCAAGACTTACCGACTCGCCTTGTGTCCGGGCTCAGGCCCAAGTTCAACCTCTTAGTCGTCAAGGCCGAGATGCTTCGACTGGTCACCGACCTCTCGGACGCCAGCGACGAGCTCCAAGCTCGGGCCGCCGCGCTCCTGCATCGGGGCGCCGAGACGACACCGATGTTTGGCGATGTGAGGCTGCTGGACCGCGCTGCTCTCTTTGATTGGGCGTTTGCGGTGCTCATCGTACACTTGTCGACGGACAAAGCGACAACTAAAGCCCACTTGATCCGCAATTTCCGAACGAATCGTGTGCTGCTACATCAACGGCAAACTGCAATGCCACGTCATAGTGGGGCCCCGCCCAGATTATCTATTCTAGGGGTACCCACAGTCCCTGTATAATGCAATGTAATCAAGTCAATATTTTATTGCAGGGTACCTAAAAACGGTGACTGGGTGGGGGGGGCACCTGAGAAAGGCGCAGAGCGTAGAGACAACCTGTGGTGTCGCAGAGAGCCACGACATCGAAGGATTCTTGCTCGATGGTCCGGGCCAAGAGCCCATGCTGACGAGATGAAAGCCGTGGCGACTTTCCAAGCTTCGGTTTGATGATTTCAGAAGGGACCGAAACCGACATTGATTGTGTGGCTGACCACAACATACGCAAACACACAGATAGCCACGACGCTTACAGTATGAATAGTATCCCAGGGTGAGTAGGTAGCTCCAACCTTCTACAGCCTCTTGTGTAGTACATGAAACTCTGTTGTGAGCAGACACAGCCACAAGCCATTCTGTGCCCCACCCGAGAAACCGACGGCGATCGGTCCAATGACGTGGCGCATGGGGACATCGTTATATTCAATATTATCCACGAGGGCGAGGGAAATATCCCAATATTTTATCGTATGCACAGGTTGGAACTGCCCCGGAACGATTGCGAGACGACATGCGGCCATCTGATTGGGCGAAGCCGCGGCGCGGCCATCCGCCGGCGCCATTTCTCATCGCGCCGATGGCAGCAGACGCCGGAAGCTGCCGACAAGACGAGGACGCGCCGAGCTTGCACCGGCGGCCGACGCTGTCGCGCCAGCTGAGCAAGTCGCAGCGCGAGGCCATCGGGCGATTGCGCATCAACATGGGCAAGGCGCGGCCCATGGACACCGAGGCCCAGTCCCGCAGTACGCTCGCTCGTCCACCGAATTGGCATAGGAGCTAACCTGCGCATGCTAGCCGAGTTTAAGGCCAACTTGGGTCTCGCCATGCGCACGGGCCTCGGCGTCCTCATCGCATCTGCTTTTGTCACCAAGGCCGCGGGCGAGCACACGCCGGCGCGCCCGAATATCTGGGTTTGTTTCCCCGAGTGGTACATCCTCGGCGGCATCAACTTCATCGCGGTCGCCTGTGTCTTTGCCGCGGGCCGCAACATTGGCGCGACCTTGCGCGAAGTCTTCCAGCAAAAGCTCGGCGTTTTCCTCGCGTTCGCCTTTAACGCGGTGCTCTTTCACTGCTTCCAGCCACGGCTCTTTTACAGCGACGCCGAAGGTGCATTCTTATTCCATACGATACGATACGATCCATTCTCTCTAGTGCAAGCTGCCGTGCTAGACGGCACGCTCCTCCGAATCACCACGTCGTTCAGCGGCACACCGTACTATGTCAACAACGGCGACGTCGTGACCGTGCTGCCGTTCATGATGGCCTTCAACGCGTTTATTCTCCTCCTGCCCTTTGTACGTCAACGTCCAATGTACAAGTTCGTCATCGTGTTGTGTAGGAAGCCGGGACGAAGAAGTTTTCGATGGTCAACAACCTCATTTTTGCCTTGACGGTCGTGAGCCCCAACGACTACAGCGACCCGTCCCAGCTCAAGGACGCGGCCCACGGTCTCTACGCGAGCCCGATGATCGTCAAGAACCTATTTATCTACATGTGGCTCGGGCTCATCGGCGCGTTCCTCTCGTTTCTCGTCGTCTGGGTGCCCTACCCCATCTTGTACCGACTGCGATCTCCAGGAGCCGCACTCATATTTTGTTTTAGTGCGATTCGAAAGCTCCAGGCACAGACCTTGTCGGCGGCCGACACGATCCACGACCTCCTGCACCTTGTCGTCGACGCCTACTGCTTCAAGAAGAAGAACGTCGAGCACATGCACTTTTTGCGCACCAAAATCAAGCGCAAATTCGAGCTCGCGGCGCTCCAGAAAGACGCAATGACGGGTCTCCTCAACGACGCTTGGTGGGAACAGATTCTGGGTCTCGCGCCGCTCCTTGGCTTCCAAAAGCGATCACCAAGCCGTACATTGACCTCTACGCGTCGCTCCTCGACACGCTTCGTGCGATGAACCAAGCGCTGCAGCTCGAGCACTACGACCGTCTCCACACGTCGTTCATGGCGGCGCTCCAGCAAGATGTTTGCGGCGTTCAAGTCCGCGCGATCGCTCTCCTCCGCGAGATTTCGCTCGAAGTCCACGCCAACCATACAGGTAGGAGCGCGAGGTGCCTCCGGTGGTGCTAATGAGTCGCCGTAGACCTGCAGTTGACCCAGCTGCGTACGCTGCAGGCCGAGATGGAGGCACTCTTGATACGCTTCCAAGCGACGCAGACCAAGCTCTTCCTCACGATGCACCCGACGCCGTCCGACGTTGAAGGCAATATCCCGCTCAACCTCTTCCTCTTTGGCCTCCAGTCGCTCTGCGCGACGATGGCCGAGTTTCCCGCCAAGGTCCGCAACGAAACCCACCACACGGTACGCACTTCGATACCCCAAGCCGTCACGACTTATGGAGTGTCGTAGCCGTCGCGCATTCTCAACTTTCTCAAGCGGTCGTTCTGGTCGTTTGTGGATCCGCGCAAGCTGACGCCGACGCGGTTCCAGATTGCGTTCAAAGTCTGGCTCGCGCTTCTTCTCTCCAGTCTTCTCGCCGTGTACGTTTTTGGCTTCTCGTCCACGGCGCCGACGACAATTGCCTACGTCATGGGCAACCAGATTGGTATATATTGTCATCGACGACAATATTGTCATTGCAACTCATAACGGACTAGGCGGCTCGTTTGGTATCTCGCTGTTTCGAGCGGTCGGCGTCGTCGCCGGCGTCATCGTGCCCTCAATCGCGCTCTTCTTCGTCTGCACCTACAGCGGCGAGCACACGGCGGTGATGCTGCTCCTTCGGAACCTCTTCTTCTTTGTATGGACGACGGCGTCCATGTATGTGAAATGGAAAGGCGGTCTCGACTCGTACGCGGGGCTTGTCTCGGCCTTTATTGCCGCCGGCATTTTGCTACCGGACGACATTTGCCCCGCTCCAGGGTCCTTGTCGTCCTATGCCAACGTCGTGCAAATGACGCTCGGTGTCCTCCTCATCGTCGGCATCGAGCTGCTTTTTGGCCCGAGAGCGCCTACAAGCTGCTCCGTCGCAACGTCCGGACGCACCTCACGCTCTGCCAAGGCGCGTTTACCGCGCTTGTGGAGCACACCCTCATGTGCGACGGCACCATCGACAGTGCGCACTTGGCGGCGGTCAAGGCGGCGCTGCAGACGACGCGTCTCAACGACCAGCGCATCTTGCTCAAGGAAGCGCTCTTTGAGCCGCGTCTGTGGCGTCCGGCCTTCTCCCAACCAAAATACACGGCGATCGTCGACGGCTGCCAGCGCCTTCTGACCAACACGACGATTCTGTTCCAGCTCGTCGAGTGGTTCCAGCGCCGGCACGCGTCCATCGCGTCGTACAATTTCTCGACGCTCGAGCTCGTGCCCTCGATCCACGAGACGTTCGAGACGCTCCACACTCTCTTTGGCGCGCAATTCCAGTTTGCCGACGCCGACCAGACGGCCCTCTTTGTGCAGATGAAGGAGGCGTTCCAGATCGCGGACAAGCAGTGCAGCGGCTTTGTCGACGCCAGCGACGTCAAGGCGCTGCTTCTGCACGTGTTTGAGCAGTCGGGGGTCTTGCCGATGGATGCAATCGACGACTACGTGGCCGACTTTATGGAGATCGTCAACCAAGACAAGTCGGGCCACGTCTCGCTCGACGAGTTCATGCGCGCGCTTGAGAACGGTCTTTTGCTCGAAGTCGAGGTCCTCCCGACGCAACGCAGCGGTCGACCGCCCTCGGCGACGAGACTGCAAGAAATCTCGGTTGACGCCAGTCCACTTTTGACGCCGAGCACGCGGATCCCCCACGTCTTTGACGACGGCGTTATCTGTCGCGCCCACGACATTTTGGACGTTGAGACGTTCTCGCTGTTGCACGCCGCCGACGCCATGCGCCGGTCGTACGCATCGTGGCTGCTGCTGGACGACAGGTACAAGGGGCTGGCACTGGAAGAGCTCCTTCTTCTCAACAGTCTTGTGAGTGGCGTGAGCGGCCTTGCACGCAACTTGGCGCTGCTCGAAGAGACCGTCGTACAACCCTAATCCCGATAGACTAGATATCTAAAACTCTCTCAACTTATTCGACCTGCAAAGACAAATGGTTTGTGTGTTGCCACCGCTCACCCAACGCAGATGCTCGGATACGTAGTCACTTTTAGTAGAAATACTAGCTCGTTGGTATTGGTTGACATTAGCTTGTAGCGCGCTGTGATGCTACGCTACCACGTTCGACAGTGGAGGCCTCTCTTCGTCCCACCGCTCCGTGCATTTGTAGGTTGGACTTGGATATGGAGTTTACTATGCCAGCGAACGTCTCAACGAGGAATGCAAGGTTCTCGATGGGCGTCACCGCATCCATGACGCAGGGCAGGAGGGCACGTAGGCAACCTCTGCCCGCGCAGAACGCGTCGAAGAAGAGATGGCGTGACTTTCCGACCCCCTCTTCAAGCAGAAATGGATGGCGTCGACGGCGTTCCGGTAGCATCGCATGCAGTAGATGTCACCACTGGGCCAGGGATGATGGCTTCTGACTCAAGAAGACCATGCTTGCACGTGCCATGAGTATCTCGACCGCAGCCGCGCGACGGGTTGCAACAAGGCGACTGCGGATAAGGGCATTCGAATCGGTCCAGAATGCGGTCTTGTACGTCATCACATATCTGGTGCACAGGACAAATCAAGCTGCCCTCGAATCCATTGCGTCTCCACGCGGAAAGCGTGTGATTAGGAACGTGCAAGTGATCCAGCAGTCCAGCAGTCTTTCCATGCCCTCGTGCAGCACTGTTATCCAAGAACCTCGTTCTTTGATTTCTTCTTTTCCGTCCACCTCAAGCTCCACAATCTCTACTATCCACGTAGGTTGTCGTTCCAACGCTGGCGCAAGCACACTCTCCTGGCTCAGCAAGAGCGTTTCGGTGCCGGGTGCCGTCGCCACGCCACTGACAGCGGTCGACCTTTTAGCAAGAGTTGGGACTACTAGTATTGATTAGTTTTGCGTTGGTACGAGCTGGTTCTATACGAGCTCTGGGTTCCTACGTTATGTGCACTCACTCGTTGGGCTTGTGCCAGCGGCGCTCAGGCTGTCATGGGCAAAACGAGCCAGGCAGCACTGATTGGTCAATTGATTCCGGATACGCCAATGACATCCAATCACACTGCAACGAGGCGCTGGCGTTGACACAATCCCAACATCCCATGGCGACCTTCTGCAGCGTCGTTCTGGCGCAGCCCGCGATCGCGTCGATCATCTTCAAGCTTCAGTTTGGCGTCTACGAAGACATCGCATCGCGCTTCCGCGACTTTAACCACCTCGTGGATGCTTACCCGATGACGGAGACCGATGACACGCCGTACTACGCCCTCGACGGGACCTTCGTCACGAGTTACCGTGTCGACGACGATGGCTTGGCGGCCAAAGGCTTTGGCGCCGGAAGCTTGTACCTCTCAAATCACGTCACGCGCGACGCTCGCTTCCCGCTGCACTTGGCGATCTGCGAAGGCGATTTGCGCGCGGCGCAGCGTATCGTTGCCTGCCGCCCCGACCTCGTGTACCAAGAAGCCATCCAGGCGGCGCTCATGACCGGCCATCTCGAGATCGCAGACTTTCTACTGCAGACGCACGCTGTGGACCGCAACTATGACGATGAGTTTTTTGGTCGCATCTCGCGGCCGCTGGACGCGTGGCTGCCGTCAGCGCTGGTGCGGACCAACAATGCGGATGCGCTGGCACTGCTGTGGCGCCATCGCCAACTACAATGGTCGGACAACCTGCTTCGCGCAGCCAGCTTCCAGTATGCGCCGCGTGCCATTGCGTTTCTGTACCAGCACATGCCACAAGCAGTGTACGACAGCTTTGTGGACGACGCTGCGACCCTCGGTCTCTTGGAGATCGTGATCGACCTCGTCGCGCGCGGCGCCAACTGCACGTTGGCCGCCCTAGACGCTGCCGCCGTCAACGGTCACGTCGGCGTCGTTCGCTTCCTCATTGAGCATTGCCATCACGCGCCGTCGCGCTGGACGCTTCAGAATGCGGCGGCGAAAGGGCACTTGGCCGTGGTCACATATCTGCATGAGCTCGGGACCTTGGACGATGCAGTCATGGCCGCATTCTCAGCCGCGTACTACGGCCATGACGACGTTGCGCACTACCTGGTGGCCAATAGACGCGTGGTTGACACCACCGTGCGCGTCGACGCGCCCGTGTCGGACCTCGTGCTCATCGCGATGCACTTGCTCTCGATCAGACACACTCTGGAGCAGACCGCTTCATACTTGTCAACCCTCACGAAGAAGCGAACGTCGGGCGTTCTGGAAATCGCTGCCTTTTCCATCGAGCGCGGCGTCGTGCTCGAAGCTACCTGGATGATCGACGCCTGCGAGCGAGGTGACATGGACGTCGTCGTCTACCTCCACGAACACGGAGCCGCGTCATCGCCCCAAGCCATTGACACAGCTGTGCGCTACAACCAATGGGCCATCGTCGACTTTCTCATGGTCCATCGAACCGAAGGCGCGACGCTTGCTGGCATTGAGCTTGCACTTGCGCGCGGCCAGTTTGATCTGATTGCGCGTCTTTGGGCGAGGCAGCCCGAACTCCGCGACGACGACCTCTTGCGTGTGGCTTGTATCGAAAGCAACGCCGACGCCGTCCATTTTCTGCTTAAAGGAGGGGTCGGGAAGCCACGCCATCTCTTCTTCGACGCGTTCTGCGTGCGCAGAGGATGCCTTGGCGCCCTCTTACCCTACGTCTTAGATGCGCCGACACCGGTCGAGAACCTCGCCTTCCTCGTCGAGACGTTTGCTGGCATAGCAAACTGCATATCCAAGTCCAACCTCTTGGTCATCAAGGCCGAGATGCGTCGGCAGGCCAATGACCTCGCTGCCGCTAGCAACGACCTTCAAGCTCGGACCGCCACACTCTTGCGGCGGGGCGCCGAGACGACGCGACTATGTGATGGTCGGCGGGTGCTAGACCGCACAGCGCTCTTCGATTGGGCTCTCGCTGTCCTCATCGTGCACTTCTCGACGGACGCAACAACGATTGCTGCCCACAAGACGCGACTGGAAACTTGGATGAATATGGTGGACGACCCTCTTCTGAGCTCGCAACTGCGGCCTCGCCTTGCCGAGAAGGTCAATGAATCTAAGGCACTTGACAGCAACTCAACGTAGTTACGACTCTAACGAATTAATGCGCCGTGGTAAAGTACGTGTCGACGAGGTCGTTGGCCGACGCGATCGAGCACTCGACCGTCTCCATGCAACGCATCGAGCCCGTGTGGTATGTCGATCTGTGACCTTGGAGCTTCTCGAGCGATTGGAACCAGCCGTTGGCGATGGCCGACGAGTTGACGTGCGCAAAGTACGTCCACGCTTTCGCAAACTTGAGGTCCGTCATCTGGACAGGTTTCGCCACGGCGTTGGGCAGCGAGACGTTCTTGTTGAGCTTGGAGAGCGCGTCTTGGGCCATTGCAGTCACGTTCTCGAGCGAGATCGGGTCGTGACCCCGCTTGTACGAGTAGACGTTGAAATACTTGTCGTCTGAAAGCTGCGTGCCAAAGATGACGGGCGCACCGTTGTCGAGGGAGCCGCCGACCGTGAACGGGGCGCTCGCGTTCCCAGTTGGCTTGAGCTGCGCGGCGTACCAGTTGCGCGGCTCGACTTGGTCGAGCGTCCAAACCGAAGAAAAGTACTGCACCGAGTGCACGTGCTTGAAAACGTCGACTTCCTTGGCGTCAAGACTTAGCGGCCGAAGCAAGTCGAGGCGGTGCGGGATCGTGTTGATGATCGAGGCGCAGACTTGCGTCTGCCGCCCTTTGCCGTTGACATTGTACGTGATGCTCGCGCCGGTAGCTCGGCGGTTCGTGCTGATAATGGTCGCGTTGTAGTTGAATTTGGCGCAGTGGAGCGAGGCTGCAATCTTGGTGAAGAGGAGGTTGTAGTTGACCGTGAAGAGCGACGACTGCTTGGTCAAAAACTGGATAAAGCCGCCGGGCTTGTAGTACATCATCGCGTACAGCGCCGGAATGTCTTCGAGCGACCCGTATCCGAACGTCGTGATGTACAAGTGGAAGAGCGGGACGAGCGCGTCAAGGCCGTGCGCTGGTAGGAACTCGCTCATGGGCACCGCGATGGCTGGCGGCACGCCCTTCTTGAAGCCCGGAGCGAGGTATGGGGCGTACTTGGCGTAGACGCCGACGTAGCGCTGAATGGCCCCGGCAATCGCCGTCGCGTTCGTGGGAAACACCGTGGAGTCGAGGATGGTTCCTGTCGGCGCGTAGTACACGTAGTTCTTGCGCATCGGGTTGCTTGGCCGGGAAACGTTGAACTTGTCGGTGAGTTCAATCACCAGCGGGTACATGGTGGTGTCGCCAAAGATGGCGCCAACCTGGTGGATGTAGCCTTCGGGCGAAACCCAGTTCTCGGCCTTGCCGCCAGGACCGTCCTTCTTGTCAAAAATCACAACGTCCGTAATGCCCTTCTCGGCGAGACGAAGGGCCGACGCGAGGCCCGATGGACCCGCACCGAGAATGCACACGGGCGCGGTTGCCGTGACGCCAGCCAGACCCGCCACGCAAAAAGAGAGAAGGGTTGATGCGCGCATCGCCGAGAGCAAATTGAAAAGTGAGTCTAGTTTACCCTGTCTTTTTCAATGGCACGCGGACGTGCGTGGCGACATACCATAGCAAGTGCAAGACATACGACAAGACTCTGAGAGCGTGGATGGTGTGAGTTCGCAACGATTCACGATCGCGTTCAAAACCCTGTCCACCCCGTCGACCTCAATGACAAAAAGGGGGCTTTTTCCTGGTAGTCCAGTACCTCTTTGTGTCACAGCGACGATGCTTGTGCGTTGGACGTATTTCTCGACAACCACTGCCAGCACCTGCACAATCCGTCTGGTTTGTGGGCTCTGCGGTTGTTGTGCATGGATTGCGTCGTGGGATGCACTAGCTTGGCTATGCCCGCCTCGAGGCGGGTCACCAAAGAATGTTTGCTGGACGCTGAGCAGCCAAAACACTAAATCAAATCAAGCACGCTCGTTGAAGCAGCTTTGCTTGTTGTTGACTTGATATGTGCCACGGCTTGGCCCGTCTCCGGTGGTAGACCCTGTCTTTAATGGGGCCGACATGGCCCGTCTTGTCCATGTGGCTCTATGCTCAGCTCCTTGCTGGTGCTTAAGCGCGACGTCAAGACCAGAGTTGGGGACCAACGATTCCAACACGATCCACGTCATCAAAGATATCGGGGAAAAGCTACGTCAAATCAAGCCGCCAACGACGAGCTACAACACCTGCGCCTTGATGCACACAAGTGTCTGAGACAGGATGGCGGCGGAGCGATCGAAAGCACCACTCACCGAGATCGCTGAACGTTATGACGTGGTTGGGCGCCACCAAGTCGTTGGCGAGATCCTGGGACACGAGGTCCGGTCGACAGCGAAGGATACGAAGCGTCGCTTGTACGTCGCCCTGGTAGATGGCAGAGTCAGAGTGCAGTGTAAAGCGGCCGTCACGCGGGCTGTGCTCGGCCAAGCAGAGCGTTTAAGCGCATTGTTCTGGATCCGTAGTCAGCGAAGGCGACTCGCTGGCCATGGGCGCATCCATGCTGTACTGTCCCAATGAGTGCCACCGCGTCGATAACCTATTTGAGGTCGCGATGGCGTAGACACCAAAATGGAAGTCTACGACGAGCGCCGCAATCTCGGACTGTCGCAGAAGCACGTCCGTGAGGCAGCTCACACCAGTCTCGATGAGCTAGTCGAATCCGCGGCGAACGACAGACTGTTGACCAATCGCAGCACAGCAATACAGTGTCTATGGCAGGGTCGCAATACACTGTTCCACTCCTGCTAACGTCATTGGAATGACTTTTTCCATCGTACGAAACTCTACATCATACGCCTCTTCAACGCGAACAAGCGATGGTCGTCGGCGTCAGCGTCATTCCGGGCCGCGATGCAGTAAGGTCGCAGCGCCAGTGACTCAAACAAGCTCGAAACAGAGTTTCACGGCTCGCCTACCGCCATCGTCGCAAGTGCCAAACCGTAGCTCCCGCGACTCCGAAGGATACTCTCGAAATGGCTAGTCCCATGTACGTTTAAGGAGCAACTCGCATGTAACGCAAAACATTAAAGACGCGCATTGCAACGGCAGCCTCGTGACGTGGCACGCTGTACCAAGGGTGCTTTTGCGTGGTTGTCGAGACGTGCACGGTCATCTTTGATTCGCCAACAATACTGTCATGCACACACAAACGCGAGCCCCCGTGTCGACAAGATGTCGTCGTAGGCGCGACCGGTATACTGGTGGCACCACCAGCGCACGAGCTTGCGTAGGACGTCTGGGTGCAACCAATTGCGGCTGGCGGCAATGCAGTCGAGGAAATGCTCGTCCAGAAGCGCCGGGTACGCGCGCCGAAGCGCCGTCAGCAGCGTGGGGAGGTCGAGCCAGAGCGCGTCGCCAAACGACATGGTCGTGACGCCGCCGTACGTCAAGTCGACCGTCTCGGACGATACGCGGCCCGTGCTTAGCGCCAGCAAGTACGCCCCGACCTCGTCGCGCTTGGTCGTTTGGAGGGCGACGTCGTACCACACGTCTGGGTTCCACCACGCAATCTCGGGCAGCAGCCGCATGAGCGAGAGCACACTCGCATGGTCGAACGCATCGTCGTACGCAAAGTCGGAGTCTTCAAAGCAGCGCCGCGCCACCGACGGCGAAAAGCTCAGCAGCGCCGAGACGCAGACGGACCAGCGCATCTCGGGACACGCAGCCACGAGCGATAGCAGCTCGTCGTCCGCATTCTGTCGGACGACCAGCGCGACCATCGAGGGCGTCCACTCAATGCATCGCGCCGCCGCCAGCGCGAGCAGAACGTCCAATCGACGCAGCGCAAAGAGTCGGGCGATGACGAACGCGGCCGGGCGAATCGGACGGTGTGCGATGAGACCCGCAACGAGGTCGATGCACCCTTGCACGAGAATCGTGGTGACGCTCGCCATCGAGCAGACGAGGTTCGGGCAGCACGCGAGCAGGTGGAGTGCGACGTCCGTGCGGAGATTCGAGAGCGCGCGCTCGAGCGCTTCGCTCGAGATGGTCTTGGGGCACTGGCGTGTGAGAAAGGTCACGATCTCGAGGTGCCCTCTGGCTGCAGCCTCGGCGAGCGCGCGGGGCGTGGCGCCGACGCCGTCCGCATACAGGCGCATCGTGAGGCCCAAGTCGCCATGCTTCGCGGCCACATCAACGAGGTTGGCGACGCTAGGAGTGCCACGACAGCGCTCGTACAAGCACTCGAAGCTGCGCATCTTGTGGGTCTGGATCGCGAGCGTGAGCGCCTCGTGGGACCAGCCCCTCTGCGAGTACGTGGCGAGGAGGGCATAGAGCGTTGGATCGTCATGTCTGACGATGCGCGACGGCAGGTTCCACGACGTCTCGGTCGCAGGCGCCGCAGCGGTTGCATCGATCGGCTCAAAGCACGTGCGCAGCTCGGCGACGCGAGCTCGCTGCTCGAGCAGATGGTGGACGATCGCCACACGGCCGGTGACGAACGCGCAGTCGATAGCCTCGGCCGACGCCATCGGTCGATGGTAGTCGACAATGTACGCGACCAGCGGTGCATGGCCACGAAGGATGGCCCAATGCAGCGGAAAGCGAGGATCGAAGTTCGGTCCGGGCGGCAGGCAGAGGGCGTCGCAGCCGTAGTGTCTGCTAGAGCCTGGCGGAACATAGAAGCTGCCACGCTTGCGGAAGGCGCTAGCGCGCGCGATGGCCTCGCGTGGCGAGCAGCCATGCTGGTACGCGATAATGGCGGACGCCAGGGCTCGCGAGCTGAGCACTGCCATCGCCATGGTCCTCGCCAGCTTGTAATGGTGTTGGATTGGCTTTTAATCGACCGTTCATCGCCGTGGATTGGTGGATCGTCAACATATCGGCCAATCAAAGAGGCCACATATTGAGAATGATAGTCTCTTGCGTGTTTTGGATCGCGACACTACTGGCCCGAACACGATACAATAGTTGTACCGAGCCGTTGGGCATAGTGGTTCGATCCTGTCCAAGCAGTGCTCGTATAGGGCAAGAGTGCAGCTATAGGAGGATAGACTAGCTGCTGAGGACCTGTCATCTCGGCTCCTTGACATAGCTCTTGCAGAAGCGCGTCATATAGGCCACGGCGTTCGAGAGAGGGTGGGCGACTTTGCGCGGGTACTTCAAAGGCGCGGTGGGTCGCACCGACCGCGACAATATGGGGAGCGCCACGAACGATGCGACGCACCTCTCAAACCATGGGTAGGCAAATTTAGAAGCATTTGACACGGGTGTTCTAGGATCATCCAACGAGTGCCACGTCATGAGACATGTATGCTAGTTGTACAGGAACGCTCGTTGATCGAGACCACCACCGTGGTGCATTTCTACTTGATACACTGATAGATAGCACGAGCAAAACGCTTGCAACTGACAAGATCGCGCTCTTTACATGGGCGGTCGGCACTCAAAAGGTCCGATCCGGAAGGACGCGCGGCCGCTGCTGCCCGCCGCTTGGGACGAGCTTGTTGCGCTCGAGCGATGGCTGTCGGTCCACAACGTGCTCTTTGTGACGGACAGCGCGACGCTTGAGGCGTGGATGCCAACGAAGGACGTCGGTGCGGCCACGCGCGTCTTGACCTATCCGTTCTGCGCCCTGGACCTTCTGGCTGCGTTTGCCTTGCTGCAGCACGGCGCGCCGACGACGCGCAAGCTCGAATGTACGCACGCTATGCTCGTGTGGCTCGTTGACGATGTGGCGATGTTGCGTAGTTGTTGGTCACTTGCTCAAGAATGGGCCGGACTGCAACAAACCTGAGCTCCTGATTGCTATGGGGTACGTAGTTCGCGGCGTCGCGCGCTTGAAAGGGCTGCCACCCGTGCCAGACGCGACATTGCAGTTTGTCGCCCGGCGTAAGCTCCTGGGTTCTGCTTTGTGAGACGATCAATGGGTGGTAGAGATTTTTGGAGGCGAGACGCAGCTGCCATGGTCGGTCGTTGTCGCCAAGCTCATGGTGCTACCCGACATTATCTACTTCCTCAGCGACCTCGACATGGTATACATGGTTATCAACCGCTACTTTCGGAGATGTACCCGCAGGTTGCCGTCGACAGCCTCGAGACACTCATTGGCGAACAAGCCCACCTTATGCAAGAGCTCGCCAAAGTTGAACATGATCTCTCGGTTCTCGGTACAGTTGACGCCATGGATATGTAGCTTCTCTCTCATCGTTCTTCTATGGACCAGGAACCACGACACCAGCTGTGCAGCAAATGCCAACCGATCGCCACGGGTGGCTCTTTCACGTGGGCTTGGACCTCCATGCGGCGACAGCCACTGTGGGGCGTCGCACCCCCCAGACGCCAATGCAGATCAATATCGACGAGTGCGCGCGCATGATTTTCAAATGCTATAACGCCGAGTCGCGGCCTGAAGTCGGTAGCGGTGCCAAGAAGCACGTCGTTGCGCTTGAAGCCAAGCGCGGGTTCCGACACCCAGAGGACTTTGCCGCGTTCTTGGCGACGATTTCGGACGGCGCCGTGCAACTGCCGCTCGCCGAGGCGTCGGCGATCCTGCAAGCGCTGCCACGCGACCAGCTCGAGCGCATCTTTTGCTCCGACATGATTCGCTGGTTCAAGCGCTGGGCGTATGTCCAGAACCACCGCGGCCACGTGGCGTTCGATCAGACGCCGCTGTGGAAGCATGCTGCCAAGAGCATCAAGCGCCATGTACAGGGCTACATGCGTGGCTGGGACGCACTCCGAGGAAGCGTGCCATGCGGTGCGAGGCCGAGCTCTCGGCTGCCCATGGATGAAGCCCAGTACAGCGTGCTCATCAAGATCGACCCGCCGTCAAAGCCTCCCGCAATCAAGTCCTTAGCTGGCATTGGATGCCGAATGGACCTTGCATTCCACGACGAGGCCGAGGGCGCAGACGGGCCACCGCTTGTGCATCTTCTCGAAGCCGGGTACTCGACGGTTGTTTCGCTCGAGCTGTTTTTGTTTCGAGACGTCAATGGTATCATCGATTCTTGGTTGGCGCGTCGAACCTGGCCGATGGTAGAGGCAACCGCCACACGGCTCGCGTTCGTATTGAGTGAATTTTTGAACGATTTCAACGTCCTCGACGGCGTCTCTGGACTGTACGACAAGGTCGTGGGTACGCCAACGAAAAACCAACCGAATTTGAAATGGTTGCTGTCCTAGTCACGGTGATGAGCGGCCTCCGCGAGCACAGCGTGGCTGACGCCTACACGCTCGGGATCGCGTCCGACAAGTTGTACCTCCAAATCAACTTTTTGTCGCAGCGCAATATCGTGGCGGACATCGAAGTACGTCCAGTCGCCAAGCGACAACGAGGTGGAAGGTACTGAAATGGGTGCTAGGAGATGTGCCACGCGCCGCTGCGGGACGTCGTCGACAAGTTTCACTGCGAAGTACAGCTCGGCAACGCATGGAGCGAGATTGTCGCGCACGCCAAGGACATGCGCGCGCTCTTCGAAGTCGCTTGCAGCGACGCGACGTCCACATCAAGCACATCGCTCCTGCGTCTTCTCTTTGACCGGTTTGACCGGAATAAATCGGGTGCCTTGGAGCTCGATGTACACCATTGGCATTGTATCAATGTATCAACCACCCGTGTAGGAGCTCAATGCACTGCAGCAGTCGCGAGGCCTTGGGGTGGTCTACAGCGAAGAGGACTTTCGTGAGCTTCTTGCTGCCATGGGCAACCTCGATGGTGCGTCGTCAACCGGGCTGTCGTGGCAGGCCTTTCTCTCCCACTATACGACCTACGGCGGGGTGTACGATGGCGTCCAGCAGCTGGGTAAAGTGCACATGTACTATGTACTTATTGGCATCTCATGAGAGACAGGTGGCCTCGACAACCTTCTGCACGGATCCATCTCGTGGGTCCTCGCCATCAATAGGCACTGGCTCCTGCACCTCGAGGCCAACGCCGCAGCGTCTGTTTGGCGCAACCGCTTCCTCAAGTGGAGTCTGCTACTAACCCAGTACCTCACCGACGTGACGCTCGAGCTGTCTTTTCCAAGCGCACTGAGCTGTGCGCGGTATTTCTGGCCGCGCATCAAGAATTGGCCGATCCTCGAGGCGCCGTATTGGCTCGCCAACCAGCTCTACGACCTGAGCACACTCTTTTGGCATGCACATACGGAGCCGCATACGACCGACCAAGCAGGCTGCTTGAACCTTCTGTGCGCAGCGAAGAGCTCGCTCTCGAAGCTAGGCCACATGCGGTCGTCCGAGCAGCACGCGCTGGCCTCCGAGACGCTCGAGATGGAGAGCATCCGCAAGTTCTTGGAGGCGTATCCTGCGCTCGAAGCTGCCGTCTGCGGCGTCCAGCAGCTCTCGGTCGTGACGCGACCCGCGTCGTTCAAGGTCGAGTTGGAGCACTGCGTTGTCGCCAAGGCCAAATCTTGTCCTTGAACGGGATTGGCTGAAATGAGGAAGCGCTCGCGTCCTGGATTGGTGGCATAAATATTTTGTGCATTCGGATTGGTTGGCAAATAAGATTTGAAATGCCACGATATGAGTGGCCAAAATAAATTGGATTTTATGTCATACGATTCGTTGATTGGCGTAGTTCTCACGGGTCTCACATTGCTGGTGCAATTTTGGAGTTCCCCATGCTTCGCGCTGCTTTGACCCGCCGCTGGACCGCGCCCCGCCCCGCGCTGCAAGCTGGTACCGCCACCCGCGCCGTCTGATGGCTCATGCGCGAGGCTCTGTAGCTGGCGTCCGAGCCTTCTGCGCGCCGCCATCGCCGACCACGGCGACGACGCCTCGCGTCCGAGTGCGCTACGCGCCGAGCCCGACGGGCTACTTGCATCTCGGCGGTCTCCGCACTGCGCTCTTCAACTACCTCTTCGCCAAGGCGTCGGGTGGCGACTTTCTCATGCGCATTGAAGACACGGATCAGGTGCGATGCTGCGTCCTTGGAGCCGATACGATGCGCCGTAGACGCGCAAGGTCGAAGGCTCGGTCGAAGCGCTCACCAAGAGCTTGCACTGGTGCGGCGTCCACGAAGACGAAGGCCCGACAGCGGGTGGTCCGCATGGCCCGTACGTGCAGTCGGAGCGGCTGCACATCTACAAGGCCCACGCCGAGCAGCTCATCCATGTACCTCGATTCCCTGCTAGCTAGATTTTTCCTACACTGCATAATACTGGTAGGACGGCCACGCGTACCGCTGCTTCTGCTCGCAAGACCGACTCAAGTCGTTGCGCGAGGCGGCGACACGCGCGGGGTCGGGCACCATGTACGACCGGGCGTGCTTGGGCCTGACGCCGGCCCAAGTCGAGGCCAAGCTCGCGGCCGGCGAGTCGCACACGGTGCGGCTCAAGGTGCCCGAAGGCAAGACGACGCTCAAGGACATGGTCCGCGGCTACGTGCAGTTTGACCACGCGGTCATTGACGACCAGGTGCGTGTTTTGATTGGTTTTACGGTGTGGATCGCGTGCGTCCTAGGTGCTCATGAAGAGCGACGGGTTTCCTACCTACCACTTGGCCAACGTCATTGATGACTACATGATGCGCATTACGCACGTGATCCGCGGCGAGGAGTGGCTCTCGTCGACGCCCAAGCACGTGCTTTTGTACAAGGCGCTTGGGTTTCCCGTGCCGCAGGTACCGCGCTCGCTCTGTGTTTGCAGCTTGCCTCAATTTGACCTCTGCAGTTTGCGCACCTCGGGCTGCTTTTGAACGAAGACCGCTCCAAGCTCTCCAAGCGCCAGGGCGACGTGGCCGTCGAGGACTTTCAGGTTCTTACTTCTTTTAAACATTTCTCTTGGCTGACGAAGATGCGCGTAGAAGAAGGGGTTTCTCGCGTCAGGTCTTGTCAACTTCGTCGCGCTCCTCGGGTGGAACCCGGCCGAGGGTAGCACGAAAGAGATCTTTACGATGGAGGAGCTCCAATCCCACGTACTAGTACAATGCGACGCGTGTGTCTCAGATCTAGAAATCTAGTTTTCGATGGACCACATCAACAAGAGCGGGTCGGTCGTGAACGTGGAGCGCCTGCGCTGGATCAACTCGCGCCACATTCGCAGCCTCTTCGAATCCGAGACGAAGACCGACGTGGTCGAGATCGTGCGGCCGTACCTGACGTCGCTGCCAGCGCTCGAGAGCTTCGAGACCGAGTACATTCACGGCGCCCTCTCGCTCATGAAGGTCCGATCCTCTTGCACGCGACCTTGCTACACAGAGGACGCTAGGAGCGCGTGAGTGCGCTGCCCGAGTTTGCGCCGCTGGTCCATTACTTCTTCGCCGCGCCGGATTTGAGCGCGGACGAGAGCGTCGCCATGCGGGCCAAGTACTTCAAGGACGACACGGGTATGGCAGTAGCTTCCTAGCCGACTGGTGAAGCGAACGCGCCGTGGTAGACGACGTGGTGCGCGCGGTGCGGGCGCAGCTCTCGGCCCTCGACGCCTTTGACGCGGTAGAGTCGCGTCTGCTGGATCCGTTCCTCACCTTTAAGATAGAAGTCCATCATGGACCTCATCAAGGCGACGGCCAAGGAGCGCAAGCTCGGCGTGAAAGCGTAGGCGACCTCGTCTCTGTCGAGTAGTCGCATATCATGGATGGATGTGTGTAGAGTGCTCATGCCGCTGCGGTACTACCTCACGGGCATGGAGGTCGGCGCGAGCCTCGGCGAGACCATCGAGCACCTCGGGAAGGACGAGACGCTGGCCCGCCTCGCGATCGTCTGAGACGCACGACAAACCGACGACGACGAGCTGCTTAGAGGTTACGTAATGGTAGATTTTAGGTCTTGGTCGAGGAGGTGGTACGCAGGAGGTGCTTCTTTTTTGGTGGCAGGCGTCGTCGAGTCGTTCGGATGTGCTTCAGTAGGAGAATTGGTTGCGCGAAGGCTGCAGCCAGTGGGACGACGGGCGCCACGGCGTGCTCGGGCTGGCGTCTTGCGTCGACCCGACAAAGAGCGAGTGGAACTGCAGGCGCAGCGGCGAGCAAGACGACTCGATCGAGTGGCGACAAAAGTAATCGATGGCCGTCGCGCCGCCCACGGTCGTCGCCCACGGAATCGCCATGTTCTTGGTGCGCGCGTGCTGGACCTTGACGCTGCGCGTCGCCGGCCGCTGGCGCTTGGCCGTCGGACGGTACACGTCGTCGTCGTCGTCGTCCTCATCACGGGACGCCTTGCGCTTGATGGCGGGCTTTGGGCCTAGCAATGGGGGCGGGGGCAACGAGCCGCCAGCATCTTCGAGCTCGAGGAGCTGCGCCATGGGGTTGGCGGGCCGGGCCGCGCGGACCCGGCGGCTGTCGTCCTCGGCGTCGCTCATCTCAAAGACAAACATCAACTCGTCGTCGCTGTCGTCGTACGTATCGTCGTGGTTGCGGCTCATGGCCCCGGAAGTGGACTCGGCGCGGGTCGGTGGCAAGTCGGTCGGGCGCTGGAGGTCGGTCGTCGCGGCTCGGGAATTGCAAGTCTGAGCTTCGACGGCCGTTGCCTTGCCAGTGGGTGCCCCTTTGCAAGATCTTGTCAACTCCGGCGGTTCGGTTAAGTTCGGTTTCGAGTTCGACATCGAACAACCGTTGTCGTCCGCAACGACGAGAAATTGTCCATGCGATAACCCCTACTGCTTCTACATCTACGAAGCTTTCAAGTAGGTCTGGGCGCATCGGGCGTGGAGGCCGACCGAGGGCAGAAAAAGCAAAAAAAGTATCAAATGGGAGAACGTCTGGCGTCTGTGCAGCGCAAGCGTCAAGGAGGGCGAGATGCAACGACCGGCACCACCGCCGCCAGGCTGAGAATTTGTCCAGAACACTAGTGACGTACTGTAGGCGTGACGCGAAATGCGTCGCAGCAGCCAACGCCAACGCCGAACCTAATCGGAGCGTACTTTGTATGAGCTGGCAGTCACACTCAGCGAGATGACCAAGCAGCCAGACCACCACACTATGTATCCAAGCTCCTCGACCCCATGCAAGGCGAGCGCGAGGCAACTGCGTACGTCGCGCTAGAGCGCCCATGCGAGCGATCACGTAATCGGCTTGATCGGCTATAACGAGCGCAACCTCTGCGTCGGAAGTTGCCCAACGGTTGGGGTACAATCGTACCGGTGAGATGGGCCTTCGCGGCCTTACAGGAGACAAGAAATGTCCACTTGCATACGTAGGTCATGTGTATGGGCCGTAGGCTACACTTGCAAGACGGCGTGGTCTAGTCGAGCGGTCGGAGAGGAGGCCGTTAAGGGTCGTTTTGTGTTCCGGCGTTGGAATCAGAATTGCATTTTAAGTAGGCCCCCCTACTGTGGTCGTCCCTTCCAGCTGGCTCAAGGTTTTCTCCCGCAGCACGAGATTGGCAGGCGACGTGCATGGCGGCCTTCTACGCGCGCTCGGTGCCGAGCCGCCACGAGGCCTCGCCCTCGTCGTCGCAAGCGTCGTCCTACAGCTACCGGTCGCCGTCCTCCGGCAGCTTCTACGTCGACGACACGATGCGTGCGCTGGACAACATGAGCCTCGTGTACCAAGGCGAGCGCCACCCCAACTACCCGCGAGGTTCGCACCAGCGCAGTAGTTTCGCCCAGCCGCCGTCGCCCATTCGCACCAGCGACGACGCGCCGCCAGCCTTCCCGTCGGACCTCGTGCTGCCCACGCGATCGGCGCCATCCATCACAAAGACAGCGCGTGCACGAAGTAGTAAGACGAAGAAGTCGGTGCGCTTTAGCGCGCAGCTCGTGGTCGAGCACGAGACGCCGACGTACTACGCGTCGCCGGAGAAGGCCATGTTCTACCCGGGCGGCGCCAGCTACCGACTCTTCCACCCCGAAGAGCTGCCATGCCCGATTTTGGACGAGCTCCCGCGCTCGGACGCAGCGACCAAGCATTTGCGAAGCTGCATGCTCTTGTCGAGCGAGCTTGGCGTGAGCATGAAGTGGGGTCTCATGCCGTCGACGCGCTACACCATGTGCGAGCTGTACCCGAACGAGATGCTCATCCTCAAAGAGAAGACCAAGATGAAGACCGAGGAGCAGGTCGCGCTCACCGGCGTCTCGATCGAGGTCCTCTCGCCCGTGTCCATGTCTCTGCGCATTGCCCACACGCAGAAGGAGATGGTGCGGCTCTCGGTGCGCGAGGGCCAAGAGGTCGTGCTGCAGGAGTGGTTCTGGATGCTGCACATTGCGATGGCCATGAAGGTCGACGTCGGCGACATGACGGCGTCGCTCAAGAAGAAAAAGGAGTCCAAGACACGGAGCATCTGGGTGGTCCGGGCGCCGGCGATGGACGAGCCGGGCTACCTGCCGCGCGTGACGCACCACATCGCGTCGGCCCTCGCCGGCGCCGAGATCCAGGTGCTGCACAGCGGCGACACCGAGTCGAAAGCGCTTGCGGAGAGCATCAACGAGTGCGTCAACGGCAAGCCGTTGCGCGAGAGCGTGCTCCTCGGCCGGTCGGTCTTTGACCACGACCACTACTATAGCCGCGCGGCGCGGCGCAAGCTGGCCTACGACATCTTTGTCGCGCGCGGGCGCATCAAGCGGCTGCTGCTGGTCGTGGAAGATGAGCTGCTGCCGACGATGATTGCCCGCGCGCAGCGCTTCCGCGCCAACGACCAAGGGCTTGGCATGGGCTACACGCCGTCGATGCTCAAGGTGTGCAACGGCGTCGAGTTTGCCGTCGACATGAAGACGGGCGACGCGACCATCGTCTCGTGCTTTGCCTAGCGAGAAGAACTTGTAGTAGTACAACCTTGGTAGTAGATGCAGTGCGTAGACTGTGTGGGATTGGTTTCATGTGCCCAGAAAGGCCAGACCGTTTCAGGACGAACGCAGCATGGACGGTCCGACGCTGCGCGAGGACGGGCGCGCCGAGTGCGCGCCGACCAAGCCGCGCCACGCCAAGGCCGCGCGGTCGCACACTGGCGGGCGCATTGGGAACCAGCAGTACAGCGCCGACGGCGACGAGATGGCCGCGCTTCAGGCCGAGAACGCGGCTCTGCGCCAGCGACTGGCGGTACGCCATATTCGACGACAGTGCCAAGGACATGCCGGCGTAGGACATGGAGCGCGTCTTGGCCCAAGTGGAGCAAAAGCAGCTGTACGACGATGCGTGCTCGATGCTGCTAACGCGTGGCGCTAGGGCGGACCAGGCCGAAGCGCTCGACGACATTTCCGAGCTGCTCAAGCTGGCCGAGATGGCCAAGACCGAGGCGACGTCGTTCGGCCACAACACTGCGCGGGACAAGGTCGTCGTCCTCGACGCGATGAGGCGTGCGACTCGTTTGCGTAGATGCGCCGGGACATTCAGACGCTGCAGGCCATTTTGAAGAAGGTGGGCTGCCGACATTGCGACACCCGGTACGCAGCCTCTGCCTAGGCCAAGGCCGAGCGCAACGACTTTAAGAAGACGATCAAGCAGACCGAAGAGAAGCTGCGGCTCGAAATGGAAAAGAAACACGAGGTAGTCTTGCCTCGCGACGAAGCGGATGCTGAGGAGCGAGCGTAGGAAGGCCTCAAGAGCGAGATCGACCAAGAGATCTTCACCCGCATCATCAAGGTCCGTCATGCGATGCGATGGGCAGGAGGTGCATGCGGATGGCCATGTAGGACGACCGTGAAAAGTACAGGGCACACGTCGTCGAACTCGTTGCGCGCATCAAGTCGCTCGAGAAAGAGAAGCACGATGTGTTTCTGTGGGCCAAAGCCCACCAAGAGATCTACGTCCAAGTCCGCGATGTCGACTCGCCAGCGTCGCCTCATGCTGCGAATGCACTCTAGGAGATGCGCAAGCTCGCGCGCGCCTGTGCCAAGGTCAAGCGCATGTCGGACGAGAGCGTACGATGGAGTGTCTCGTTGCTCTGCGCAAGGGTAACCACGCGCGTATGTAGACGTACGAGGCCAAGGTGTTTTACCACGACGTCATCCAGCTCAAGCACGTTGTGCTCTCGGACGCGGCCGGCCTCGACGACGAGCGACAGCAGCAGCAACAACAGCAGGCCAAGGACGACGACACGCGATGCGCAGCGTTCGTGCTTGAAAACACTGCGTCGTAGTGGCTTATTCCAGCGGGTTATAAATGATGCGTTGCATGCTCTCGCCCTGCTTGGACACTTGCACGACCATCTTGAGGTCGAGGATGTCGTCGCCGTCCTCCGACTTGAACGTCGCGCTGAGGAGGCCGCAGTTGGCGAGGTTGCTCGGCTTGATACCGCTCACGTCAATATGGGACACCTACGCACAGCGGGTCATACCAAGGCGAAGCGGGCGTGGTCGTACGGAAAACTGGAAATGGTTCTCGCCGCGCGTATAGTCGGTGGCGTCCGTGCGCCCTAGCTGTGCCATCGAGGTGGTCAAGGAGCTACATCACCAAGCGCATGCCATGCAGCCAACGTCGGTGGAAAAGGATATTGATGATGTGTCGCCGAAGGACCGAGTCGACGAGGTACTGGACCTCCCAGTAGCCCTGGCGCACGGTCTTGCTCACGCTAAAGTCCACTTCGAGGTTGAGCTCGTCCGAGATGTGCGTCGGGTTGGGCGAGATGTCCACGCGGAGCACGTCGACCTTGGGCAGCTGCGTCAGGTGCTCTTCGTCGTCCGTCATCTTGGCATCGCTCATGCTGCTGGCTCGTTGGTGGTTGCGCTGCTTCGAGGTTTTGGATACGGAAACCGAAGTCGTGATCGAAGTTCGAAGCAGGACTTACATTGTGGCATGTGCCATGTTTTAAAGACTGTATTCGGCATATGCCAGTTAAAAAGCAGCCCATTGATTGGTCCCTTGGCGAAATGCCGAATTGAAACAAATCCACAATCCGATTTCACGATGGCAACCTCGATCGACGAGACCAAGAGCCCGAACGACCCGAAGCACTACCGGCTCTTCACGCTGCCCAACGGCCTCGAGGTGATGCTCATGCAGAACGTTCCCGGCGCTGGCGACGATGACGACGAGGATGAGGATGACGAAGGCAGCGACGAAGGCAGCGATGATGACGACGATATGATGGATGATGACGACGAAGACGACGACGATGACATGGATGATGACGACGAAGACGACGACGATGACATGGATGATGACGTTGAAGAAGAGCTCTTGGGCGAAGATGACGAGATGGCCGACGACGGCCCGGCGCCGCGCAAGGCCGGCGCATGCTTGACCGTCGGTGTCGGCAGTTTTGCCGAGCCCGAGCATCTTCCTGGCCTGGCGCATTACCTCGAGCACATGCTCTTCATGGGTTCGTCGACCTTGTCCTCTTTTGGATGCGACTCATGCATGTCTTGTAGGCAGCGAGAAGTACCCGGACGAGAACGAATTCGAGGCCTTTCTGAGCGCCCACGGCGGCTACAGCAACGGCGAGACCGACGTCGAGCGCACGAGCTACATGTTCGAGGTCGGGCCCAAGCACCTCGCGCCGGCGCTCGATATGTTTGCGCAGTTCTTCGTCGCGCCGCTCATGAAGGCGGACGGCCTCGACCGGGAGCTCTCAGCGATCGAGTCGGAATTTGCGCGTGCGAGCCAAGACGACATGATCCGCTACGAGGTTCGAGCCCGTGGCCTCTTATGTTTCACATAAATTTCTGTAGCAAGTGCTGTGCGACCTGGCGCTGCCGTCGCACCCGTTCCATCGGTTCAACTGGGGCAACACAAAGAGCCTCAAGACGCTACCGGAAGGCAAGAACGTCGACGTCCGTGCCGAGATCGTTGCTTTTACAAGGCGCACTACTCAGCCAACCTCATGAAGCTCGTTGTCTGCGGCGAGGAGCCTCTGGACGAGCTCGAGGCGTACGTCCGCGCGTCGTTCAGCGACGTGCCCAACCATGACCGCGTCGTCGCCGACTATGGTCATCTTCCGATGCCGTTCGAGTCGTCGGCGCTGGTCCAGATTGTGCCACTGAAGGAGTCGCACGTGCTGCACTTGCACTGGCCGCTGCCGCCGCTCGTGGGCCACCACGACCTCAAGCCCGCCGAGTATGTGGCGTCGATCCTGGGCCACGAAAGCGAGGGTTCGATCTTGTACTACGTACGTCGTTTTTAACATATTTTGCAGGAGGGATTATAGATCCTGTATGCGTAGCTCAAAGAGAAGGGGTGGGCGTCGTCCATTTCGGCGGGCCTCACCGAGACACACGGCTACGACTTTGGGTCGTTTGGTGCGATCTTTACACTCGAGATTAAGCTGACGCTCGACGGTCTGGCCGCCTACGAAGACATCATCGGCGTTGCTTTCAGTTTCTCCACATGATGCAAGCGAGTCCGCTCCCGGCGTGGATCTTTGAAGAGCAAAAGGCCATGGCGCAAGTCAGCTTCCGCTTCCAGGAAGAGCACGACGCGATCGAGCAGTGCGAAGAGCTTGCCGCGCTCATGCAGGTAGATGCTCTACATCTGCATCGCTTTGCATTGCAGCGTGGCATGCTAGGCGATGTATCGGATTCCATCGAGCGAGCTCTTGACGTATGAAGTTCCGAAAGGCGACTTTGACGAAGCGCGGATTCGGTCGCTCGTGCTACAGCACCTGACGACCGCCCGCCTTCGCATCCACGTCGCCTCGAGCACGTTTGCGTCCGACGACACGGTACATCACGAGTGTTCGCTGGCCGCTCATGCGTGTGGATGCGCATCTAGTGGACCGAAGAGCCGTGGTTCCAAGTCGCGTACAAGGTGGAGCCGATCCCGGGCCCGCTCTTGCAGCAGTGGGCAACGCCGTCGACGCACCCGTCGCTGCGGTACCAGGCCGTCAACCCGTTCATTCCGCGCGACGTGTCGCTCATCGAGGTGCCCGAGGTCTTTGAGGCGCCGCGCAAGGTGCTTACGTCGTCCAATGCGACGGTCTACTACCTCCCCGACACGGTCTTCAAGACACCGCGCGCGTTTGTCATGCTGCACTTTTCGCTGCCGGCGATCGCGACGCAGCCGGATGCGATCGTGCTCGGCGACGTGTACCTGCGCATGGTCAAGGACGCGCTCAACGCGTACGCGTACTTTGCTCACGAAGCGCAGCTCTCGTACGTGCTGCATGTCAAGGACGCGAGCGGGTTCGAGCTGCAAATCGGCGGCTTCCACGACAAGCTGCTCGAGCTCGTCCACGTCGTCACCAAGACGCTGGCGACGTTTACGAACACGAGCGGCGACACGCTGCGTGCAGCGCGCTTCGAGGTTCTCAAGGAAGACCTTTTGCGCGTGTACAAGAATGCGCTCTTCAAGCCATCGGCCAAGGCCAAGTACATGCGTCTGCAGCTGCTCGAAGCCTCGGCCGTGCCGCTCCCGGCGCTCGTAGCGGCGCTCGAGGTGCTCACATACGAGTCGCTGCTATCGTTTGCGGTCACGACCAAGGCACTCTGGGCTGGCGGCCACTTGACGGCGTTCGTCCACGGCAACATCACGCAAGCCAACGCGATCAAGATGGCGTCGACGGTGGCAAGCTACTTTCCCTTTGGTACCTCGGCGCCGCGCCCGCGCAAGGCCATTCACGCGCTGCCATCCTCCAACGGGCTTCTGCTCCACGAAGGTAGCGAGAACAGCGAAGAGGTCAACTCGATCGTCGAGGTCTACTACCAGTTCGGCAACGAGACGGTCGCGACGCTGGGCATGGCCGACCTCCTCGAGCAAATGATGCAAGAACCGCTCTTCGACACACTGCGCACCAAGCAGCAGCTCGGGTACGAAGTCTCGTGCACCGTGCGCGTGACGCACGGTATCCTCGGCTTTGGGCTCAAGGTTGTCTCGGCCTCGACACCGACACGTGCGATCGCGGCCGCCATGGACGCCTTCGTGAAGAGCTTTGCGACGACGCTCGAGACGATGGACGACGCGACGTTTAAGGACCACGTCCAGGCGCAGATCCAGGCGCGCGAAGAACCGGATGTGCACCTCTTTGCCGCGACGACGCGCCATTGGACCGAGATCCAGTCGCTGCGCCTGGCGTTTGATATCGACGCGCAGCTCGTCACGTGGCTCAAGTCGCCTGGCTGCTCGCGCGAGGCTGTGCGCAACCAATACGCGCGCTGGTTCCAAAAGCCCCAGCTCCGCGTCATCGTTGTCGGTCAAAAGAGCTCGTCGACGCTTCAAGGTCGCGAAGAACCACCGACGGTGGACGCGCTCCGCAGCATGGACGACGTGTACACGCAGAAGGCTCGCCTCCCGTGCTTTCCTGAGCGCCACTCGATCCCGGCGGTGTAGATGGTGCCACGTCATGGGTTTAGTTTCGGCATAACGCGAATATAACACCGGTCTCGACACACAGGCATGTGGGGTCCTGAGATGTACACGAGCAGGTCGTGGTGGCATATGCCACGTTTAAGCGTATGTGCCGAAAATAGAGCATGACGTGGCAGCCTCGTGTGCATAATTATTAATGTGTGTCGTCGTCGTCCACGTGGCCGACGTCGTCGTCGTCCAGCATGCCAATGTGACTCGATTCGTGGTAGGCACCGAAAAAGTCCGAGATCCCTTCAGTCTCGTCGAGGTTGAAGCAAAAGTCGGGGTCGGCCTTGAGCGGCGCGAGCTTGAAGAGCCCAGCGTCTTCGTGCGCGTCGAGCGGCGGCTCCTCCTTGACGATCGTCTCGGACTGGGCCTGGCTTACTAAATAGACGTCGACGGGCCCTTCGTTGGCCTTGAGGAAGATCTGAAACCTCCGCGTGCCCGGCGGCATGCCCTCGTCCGGGTCCGGCACCTCGAGCGTTGTGCCTGGCGGCGCTTTGATGGCCATGATGCTCTGGTCCGCGAGCGACTCGAGCGATCGAATGTCCTGATGCGAAATGAAGCAGCGCGCTGCGTCGGACAACGACGAGGCGGACGGCGACCGACTGCCGTCGCACTGCTGCTCGTCATGGAGCTGCTTGACGCTCAGCGTCATGTGCCGAATGAAATGCTCAATGAGCTTCTCTTCTTCAACAAGCTTGGACACGTCGTCCTTCATCTTTTCAACGTCGCTCGTCAGCGTGGCCGAGGACGCAAAGATCGCCGTACTGCTGCTGTTGCTGTCGTCGTCGTCGTCGCCGTCGGTGAAGCCGGCGCCCTGCACCGACGCCCGCGCCTGGCGCACGCCCGCTCCGCCTTTCCAGTGAATGTTGTTTTTGCTCGTCTTCTCGATAAGCCCGATGCCTTCTAGCACATTTGTAATGTCGTAGATTCGCCGCTTTTGCACGCCCAGCGACAGCGCGGCCTGGTTCAAGTCGAGGTTGCCGTCGGTCGCCGACTGGATGAGAGACACGAACTTCTTGGTGAGCAGGCCGAGCGAGCTGTCGTAGCGCGTGCCAGGCGAGCTCAGGTTTCTGCTGCTGCTCGACGCGCTTCCTGGCTCTGACTTGGTCTTGGGCAGCAGCGCCGGGTCCATCGAGAGCGGTTGTGGCATGTTGCGCTTCAAGTACGAGTTCATCGGGTTGAGCGGCATGTACGACATGCCCATCGGGAGGCCCATGTACATGGGCGCGCTGCTCGTATTCAACGTCGTGTTGGCCTGCGTGCTATGCTTTGGCGTTCTCGCCTCGGTCTTGGGCGTCGCCGCGGGTGTGCTCAGCGCCGATGCAGCCTTGGCCTTGCCAGCGGCTGATGCGGAAGCAGTTCCATGCGACGCTCCACGCGCCCGCTTGGACGGAGGAGGTGGCGTGTCCATGGCGGCAATATCGGAGCGTCGGCGCGGCCACCCTCAATTTCACGTCAAGCTCATTCGTTTGGCCGGATACATTTTTTTTAGCACGCTCAAATTCTTTTTCCAATATTTAAAGTCCCCTACGCATTGGTATTGCATTGCATTATAATGCGGACCATAATTTCGAAGCGCATATTATATTACGACGCAATGCCATTGGATGAAAAGCGGCCAATGACACATTTTGTGCCACTTGAGGATCTTTTTGACCAATCGCGCGGGGATGCGAGCATCAACGCCATAGGCGCCTCTGCCATCCTCGGCTTCCGACTCTCAAGCCGTCGTGTAAGGGATATATGTACGTGCTTCGATCCCGTAAAGAGGCAAGCTCTTTAGTGTAGAAGGGAGAGATCAATACTCTATCTTGAACGACATTAATTGGTTGTCGTGTCCTCTAAAGCATATCGCTTGATGCAATACGCCGCCACCGATGTTGCGTTGCCCCATAGAATCGAAGAGAGAAAAGCCTCGCACATACCAAACCCTTGTAAATCGAACAAACCTTGGATGTGGCGCCGTACCTTGTGGCTTGAAAGCATGCGATCCAAGATGGTCAGTGCAAAGTGGCGCGGCTCGTCGCAACCAGACGAGTTCCCGCGCATTTACAAATCTGACGCCATCGACCAGGCACGGGCAAGGCAAGGGCATGGCGGCAAGGGCCTTTTCGATCGTATTAAATTTGCGAGCTCTACCAGAATCGTACTAGTCCTGCCGACGCCGACTCCTTTGGTCATAGTGCGAAGAACAGCCTTTTCTTGTGTTTGGGTCCATACGTCTTTCCCAGTTGCGAGCGACTCGACGACTTGAGCGTAGTACTATTGTTTTAGCAACCAGATCTGATTGCACCTCGGCTATTTAAAGACACATCATGTCGTCGTCGCGGACGCTGCGGCGGCGCGGCAGCTTCACCGAAGACGAAGAGAACGAGCCGCAAAAGACATTGGCACAGAAGGAGATCATTTCCGCGCAGATGATTGGCGTCATTCAGACGCGCCTCGACTCGCTGCGCACTGTCGGTGCGACGACATGCATCCGACTCAACACTCACTGTCCTCTTGGATAGCCGACGACCGCGCGTACGGCCTCGAGTGCGACTTGAAGGCCAACATTGACCACTCGTCGCGGCTCGTACACCCTTTGAATCTTAGTAGATCCTCATCGCTTGATGATTGATGTGGCAGGTCGCACAGCTCCCCGATCCATATACGATCCGGAATGCGGCCACGTCTCGCTCCAAGACTCCCACCACGGCCATGAATGTGCGCACGCAGATGCTCATGGAGCGGCTCTTCGGTCCGGACGACAAGTCCCGTGCCCGCAACGTACCCTCTTCGCATGGGATGACATCTGCTACTTATGATTGTCGATATTTTAGAAGACAATCAAGAAATCCAAAGCCGAGCTCCTCAAGACCGAGACGCGGCGCAACAAGCGCGCGAACTTGGAGAAGCAGCTGCAGACCAACATTGAGCGCCACGTGACACGCACCGTTGACAGCGTCTTGTCCTCGGACGCGCGCGGCCAAGACTCGATCGAGCTCAACGCGCGGCTGCTAATTTCGCACACGATCGAACGCATGCGCATCGTGCAGGGCAAGAAGACGTTCAAGAAGTTTGCGCTCTCGGACCTCTCGTGCAAGCAGTTCGAGCACCTCTTTTGGCACGTCTTTTACACGATTTTTCGCAAGGTACAGTCCATCTTGTCTATAGTACCACATGTCGCAAAATCCCTCGATGTATTAGAAACCAACGCCGACGGATGCGTCGTACGACGAGGACATCATGGCGGCCATTTGCGGCCAGTACGTCAAGACGCTCTCCTTCCTTCGGTCGAACAAGGACCTCATCTTCCGGATCTACCCGTACGCGATTGCAAGTGCCGTCTGCAGCGGGTTCCACTACCTGTTTCCTGGCTCGCGGCATTTATACACCAACGACTTCAAAAGTCAAGTAGGTATCAATCTATCAAGGGCGACGGTGCAACCATACGTAGGTTTTTGTGCTCATTTGCGAACTCTTATTGGGCCTCAAATTGTGCCCGATCTCGGTGCATACGATGCGCAAGCAGTACTTTCCCGAGGACGTCCTCGACGACTTGCACGCGCCCGTGGTAGCGACGCACGCGCCAAATGCGACCGGTAGCCAGCCGGATCTGCTCTCGGCCTTTGGACTCTCGAGTGCGCCGACACGCGAGACGGGCGAGCCGGCGCCATTTCCCCGCTCCAAGAGCGAGTTTACCCTTGTAGACAATCATCTTGTCCATTCTAGATTGAAGGCATATATAGACATGTTGTGGTCTAGCTTCTCGAGAAGATCCCGCCTCCGTCGTCCGGCCCGCGTCTCCACCAGCTGCGCAGTCACTTTGACGCGTCGCAAGTGAGCCCGCTCATGAAAGAGTACCTTGCGAACGACAAGGACGGCGTCAAGATGCCGTGCCTCCTTCGCCGCACGACGCCCGTGCCCAAGTGCATCGTCGGCGGCGAAGACACGTTCAAGCGCGTGTATACCAACCTGTCGTATTTTTGAGTCCAAGAACGAACGATGGGCGTGTAGGTACAACCGCAAAATGGTGCCCCCCGAGTACGCACACGAGTCGGCCGCGCGCTACAGCGAATACCGCGCCGACGTGCTGCACTATCAGCGCGACGCGCGCCATGCTCTCAAGCTCATCAACGAGGTGTGTCCTCATCCTCGTGGGTCGATTGAACTATGCGGCGTAGACCAAAGACATTGTCCTCAACGGCGGCAAGGCCGCCATCAAGGCGTACAAGACGATCTTGCAGAGCCAAGCCAACGGGTTCTCTGCATCGCTCGGCAGCCTCGACGCGATCAAACGCATCGATCCCCCGGGATCCCCCGAGCGCCTGGCCTAACAAGTTGGCAATCTTTTGGGTTCAAACGATGATTGAGGTCGTTTTCGCCATGGACAATATTGTACTCTTTCATTCGATGTATTCTTTCTTGGTTGCTAGCGTTGGCATGTCCACTATACAACAGGAACTAGGGCGTAGCCGGCTGCCGCTGCTTGAACCGAGAAATATCTTGAATCAGGATCGGTGCGGCCGAGGCGTCGACGAGCGTCTCGAGCGGGACATTTGGCACTGCGTGGTCTTGGCCCACGACATGCACCCGCAGCTTCCGAGCCGATGTCAAGAACCAATCGTCGTACTTTGCAAGCAAGTCCTGGTGCGTCACCGCACGCACAGCCGCTTGCATTGCCGCGTCATCGATGCCGTTTTGGCCAGTGAGGAGCGCCGCCCACACCTCGTGCGGCACCGACGGACGCTGCCAGATGGCGCGAATGGCGTCGAGTCGAAGCGCTAGCGCGTCGGGCGAGAGGGCGCGCAAGATAGTTGGAAACGTCGTCTGCAGAAAGGCATCCAAGCGGCGGGCGATCGCACTTGCATTCGACGTCGCCGACTCGACGACAATGGCATAGCCGAGCACATTGTGCGTCACCTTGACGTAGCAAGCAACGTGGTAGCCGATGGATTCGAGCGTGCGCAGGTGGTGGAACAGCGGCTCCTTCATGAGCTGCCGAAGAACGTTGAGAATGGCTAACTCTTTGGGATGGAGCGCACCGCACTGAAAGTACATCTCGACGCAACTGTTGACGTCGTCCGTGCGAGCGCTGAGGACGCGAACGAGGAGCCCGCGGCCGTCATGGACGGGCAGCGTCGACGTCTGGAGGCGCTTGGGGCTGTACAGCGCATGGGACCTCGGCGACAGCGTCTCTGGCATCGACAGCATGCCGACAAGTTGGTGCGCGAGCGTCACGACCGTGCTTTTGGAGGCGTTGCCAGCGACAAAGCTGGTCAAGTGCGCTCGGGCAAAGAGCTGTGGTGACGAGATGAAGGCAGATACATCCGTTATCGTCAAGGATCGTAGGGCGCGTAGAACATCGTCGAGCGCGTGCTGCACAGGGCTCGCATCGAGTAGCTGGAGGCGGATGTAGGTGGCCATGGCCCCGACGTCGGCCACGTCGCTAGCGAGCTCGGCGCAGAGCAACTCGACGACGGGATCGAGTTCGACGGTGCGAGGGACCTCCGGCCGTGTGAGAGCGTCAAAGAGGGTCGTCACGAGGTATGGCAGGTGGTGGCGGTAGCCAGCAACGCTCACGTGAATGCTGCCGTCTTGCACGCGTATGTTGACGTCCATCTCGGCGCATTGCGCGAAGTACTTTGTTTCTCGCAGTCGAAGCTCGGCAAGTCGGACGTAGACCAGAAGACGTGCGTGGGTGTCCACAGAGGCTTGGCCGAACGGCATCACGAGCTGGAAAAAGGCGGTGACGCGCGGCGACAAGGTACTGCGTTGGAGCCAATGGCGTCCAGGGACGTCCAGTCGCAGCGGCGTGGCATCCGACGTCTCGGCTTCGATCGTAAAGTCTGTGGGCATAAAAGGATTGGCTCTCGGCAGCCGGTAGGGCGCCGGCGTCGCCATTGTCCATCGCGCAAGGAGCTTTGGCTGGATCCGAGCCGTCTCGTATGCAATACGTCCCCAGGGTTCCTACAGTGACGCACGTTTAGAGCCACTTGGATTCTAACAAAATAAGAGGACCGTGCACGGCGACCGGTCGTGTAGCCGTCGAATGTCGGACGAGTGGACGGTTGTGACGAGCGCCACCTGCATGTTGGTGGGTACCATGAATGTGAGCAGCGTTGCGATGGCTGCGGGGTTGAAGGGCTGGTACAGACACGGTCCCAGATGCAGGCCGAGCAGCTCCTTCCGGTCGACGTCGAGGCGGTCGAGCATGTACGTGGCAAGAGCCTGGACGCGACTGATGGGGTCGACGGGCGCAGGAAAGGCGAACGCGACTTTGGCGGTCGCTTGGAATTCTGCGTGGATCCAGCTCGGGCAGTTGGACGTGTGCTGGCAGTAGTGTAGAATGGAATACACGTGTGTCACAATGATGTCCCAGTGGGCAACACCGAGAAGGCTCAAGTCGATCTGAACCTCGAAGATGGAGCCATACGAGCCGTGCTCGTAGCCTTGTGTCTCGGCGATACCAGCTTCGATCGCCGTCGCCCACCCTTTTTGGTGCAACTAGATGGCAACATTATTGCCAACCCTCGTAACTACATGGTCAGCGTCTTACGTAGTGAAGAAGCGACTTGCTGCCTTCGTGCCGCAACACATACCGAAGGTATTCAGCCGCCGCGAGCTGCGACTGGCGGTCCCGGCCGTTGGTCGTCGGCGGCAACGCGAAGAAGAGGTGCAACGCATGCGTCTCCGAGATGGACTCGAACGTGAGCAGTCGGCCAGGGGGCGCCAGTCGCGGGAGCGGCGGATACCACAGGCCTGGCGCAGTCGAGCTGGGAATGGCGCCGAACGAATTCCGGACGCACTCCGCCATGGTCGCCAACGGCAAGGAGCTGCATACGGCCAGCTTCATGCGCCCCGCCGTGTAGTGCTGCTTGAAGAAATCGTTAAGTGCCACTCGCACGTTGATCGGCTCGTTGCTTGCGTCCTTGAGACTCGCGGAATTGCCCCACCCAAATTGATGGTACGGGTGCGTCGAGCCATCGCGTCGTCCTGCGTCACAGAGCACTTGCTAGCCGGGATGATAAGCACGGAGCGACGCAATGAGAAGCAATACCTGCAAGCGCACGCGATCGTGCTGGTTTGCCGATTGAAATTCATCGTCGATTGCAACCAACTCGCGGTCCATGGACTCTAGGAGAAGAAGGGGCGCGATGAAAAAGTTGGCAAAGATATCGAGCGCTTTCAGCAGGCCGTGTGGTGCGACTTCAAAGAAGAACTTGGTCATTTCGCAGTCCGTCGCTGCGTTGCTGTAGCCCCCGTAGCGGCTGAGGTAGGCCTCGAACGCGTTCTCTTGCGGGTACTTGGCGCTGCCTACGCCAAGTTTGGCTTTGCACGCACGAGACAGAGATGGTATTACCCAAGAAGAGCATGTGCTCCAAGTAATGCGCCAAGCCCAAGAGCGGCGGCGGGTCGGCAAATGTACCAACGCCCACGGTGAGGCAGACAGCCGCCATTTCGCTCACCTCGTCCTCGCCGCTTCGTGGCGCCGATAGCGTCGGTGGAGCATGCACCAAGAGCACTTCCAGCGCGTTCGGCAGCAAGAAGAGCTCGTAGGCGCTCAAGTCGCTGGGCGATTTGGACGCGTCAACGACCGACGTCATGCCACACGAGATGATATTTTTCAAATCACCAGCATTGGGACGGTAGACAGGCTAACAATAGATTATATTCGGCATCTGCCGAATCCACGTGGCAGTCTGTGGGCAGACGCTATACACGATTTTGATACACTGTCTATTTTACAGTGCTTCATTTTCCTGTGACCTGCAACACTACATGTTTACAACTAAATGCAATATCCGATCCTAGAGGTATTGCACAAATGGCGAGCTTCCACGACATCCTGCTGGGCTGCCCGCATGTGGCCGCCAGCATCTTTGGCTACCAAGAGGGCATCACCGAAGACGCTTTGCCGTACTTTGACCACTTCCACGAACACGTGCTCTACGCGACGCCCCATGGCCACCATGAAGCCACCTTTATGTTTCTCAACGAGAACGGCGTGGTCGAGCGCTTCCGGCCCGCCGACCTGGCTTTGCTCGAGCAGCGCGACAGCCGCTTTCCGCTGCACTTGGCCATCTCTAGAGGCGACATAGAGGCCACGCAGCGCCTTGTACGCGGCGCCCCGCACGTCGTCTCGGTCGATGCGATCCACTGCGCCTTTCTGCATGGCCGTGCAGCGATTGTCAAGTACCTTCTCGACGCCCGCGCGCTCTCGCCCGCCCTCTTTAAGCCGCTGCCATCGCCAGCCGTAACACTAGAACGAGTGCAGCGCAGGGTACTTTGCGCCTACGACGACGTGGAGCTCGTCCAGCTCTTTGAAGTGTTCGCGTCACCGACATGGACGCGCGACAGCTGTGCTTTGGTCCTCATGCATCGCCGCACCCGTGTCGCCGAGTACTTGTACCAGCACTACGAAGCAAGCTTGTCGACGCTCGATGTGTGTGCGCTGGCGAGCAAGTATGGCCTCACGGGCATGCTGCGGCTTCTCGCAACGCGTGGGGCTCTCACGCCCAGGGCCATCGACGTCGCCATCCAGTACGGGCGCGTTGAAGCAGTGCATTACTTGCGCTCCGAGTGTCGTCAAGTTGCCTCGAATGGCGTGTGGGCCAAGGCTGCAACCCGAGGGCTTGTCGCGATACTGGAGCGATTGCCACTGCCAGAGGACAAGGAGGTCGTGGCAGCCGCCGCCGCAAACGGCCACCTCGACGTGCTTCGATTCCTCACGTCGCGTACAATCGTCTCGCTAAGCGGTGCCGCCCGAGCGGCCGTGGCATCCCACCGTGCCGACGTCTTGGACTTTTTGCTGTCGCAGGATCCGACGGTCGACGTCGCGTTTTCCTCCACCAACCCGGTCTTCTTGATGTGTCTCTTGACCGCAGCCAAGCAAGGGCGACGTAGTATCCTCGAGATCCTCTTTGAGCGCAACGCGTTTACGCCAACGCGTGCGATCGTCGACGCCGCCGCCTCGTCCGGCAGCGTCGAGCTCGTTACTTGGCTGTGCACGGTGGTCCCTGACGTCGTCACGCAGACACCAAGCGCGCTAATGTCGGCCGTCTCGTCGGGCCATGTCGACGTCGCCAACGTCCTACTGGCCCACGGACTCGAACTGGACGCCGACACCGAGATCGTCCGCTTTCACCTGCCCAAGATGGACGAGGTACTGGCCTTCTCGATCGAGCACCAGCTTGCGATCGCAGCCCAATGTCTGCATTCGGCGTGTGCCAAAGGTCGTCTCGACGTCGTCATGCGCCTGCTTCCGCTATTTCCGACGGCGACGGTGGCCTCCATGGTCGACGTCGCGGTTGGATGCAACCATCCGGATGTTCTTCAGCTCTTGGCCGAGCGTAGTGCCACGTGCCCACCCGAGATGCTCCTCCGGACGCTCGAATGCGATGCGTGGGCCTTGTTTCGCGTCCTCTGCGACTTTTGCCCCGTCACGGACGACGTGCTGGCACGCGCAGTGCGGCTCGCGATCGATGACGTGGCGCTGCTCCAGTAAGTTGCGTATTGCCTTCCGTCGCAACCCCCAAGCGTGGTCCAGCGACTTGTGCGTGATGTCGTTCAGAACCCAACCCTCCATGTGCAGCTAGTCGCAACCCTCTTGCCGGCGTGCATGGACCCCATGCAGCCTTTCAGCAATCTCACGTTCCTCGTCGACCTCGTCGATGCTGCGCGCACGGCGTCGAACGCCGTCTTCCGGCTACTGCTCTCGTACATGGCGGCCGAGGCGACGCTACCCGCATCGATTTGTGTGGCGGCGCGGGGACATCTCTCGGCAACGCAGACGGCACTCGATGCGTGGTGGTGCGCGGTGGCGAGGACGTAAGAAGAGCTAACCTCTAGGATGTATCGACATTTTTACTGGATCGATTGCAGTGCATACGAAGCTCCAGCGTTCTCGCTACCTCGCGTCGACGGGTCGTGAAAGACTATAGCATCGTCTACGAGCAGAGATTGAAGTCGCTCGGCGGGTGCAGCGGGCATCGGTGGCGCGACCTTTGCCACTTTTTAGCAGTTACTTAGCTTTGTCGTAAAAGAAATCGAAGCATCCGACCCACGAGCAAGCCGCCGATGTCGCTTTCTCGGCGCAACTCGCTCTCGAACCTTCTTCTGCGTCGCCCCAACGACCGCGGCAAGCAGCTCTGGGGCAAAGTGCGCGAGAACCTCCCGGTGCTCGCGCCGCCAAAGCCAACGACGCGGTACCGGCGCGTCGCGCGACCGCCGCTCATGTTTGATCCAAGCAGCGACTTTAAATTGCAGTGGGACCTCCTCGTCGGCGTGCTCGTCGTCTATACGACGGCGGTCGTTCCGTACCGCGTGAGCTTTTCGATTGACGCGAGCGGCTTCTTTTACGTGTTTGAGACGCTCATGGACGTCGTCTTCTTCCTCGACATCCTCCTTTCGTTCCGCACGGGCATCACGTCGCCCGTGACCGGCCTCGTCTACTACAACAAGCAGCACATTGCGGTCGCGTACCTCAAAGGCTGGTTCTTCATCGATTTTGTGTCCACCGTGCCGATTGCATCGGTGGCGACGCTCGTCGACCCGACGCTGGACTCGAACGCGCTCAATTCCGCACGCGTCTTTCGCGCGCTCAAGCTCGCGCGGCTCCTCAAGCTCGCTCGGATCCGCAACATTGCCCACATGCTGGCCAAGTGGGAGGAAGAGGTGCGTCGGGTGTGATTTTTGTTGTATTTTTGTTTTGCTTGATTTTTTGCTTTTTGATGTCGTTGGAAACAAGTAACAAAAAATGGGCTAGGTGTTTGTGAACGAAAGTCTGCTCTCGCTGCTCAAGATTCTGTTTTCGTGTTTTCTTGGCGCACATTGTCGCGTGCGTATGGTTCTTCGCGTCGACGGCCAACCCGTGCGCTAGTTCATCGTGAAAATGGACGGTAATCGCGATCTCTGACGTAGCCATTCGTGGGCCGCGACGATCGGCCTCATGGACGAAAACCACGGACACAAGCAGACGCTGCAGTACCTCGTGTCGCTCTACTGGGCCATCGTGACCATGGTACGGGTCCGAATCGAGTCGCTCGGTAGTATTGTAAGGTGTAGGCGTCGGTCGGCTACGGCGACGTCGTGCCCCAGACGAAGCTCGAGATGGCGATTGCGATGTTCGTCATGGTCATCGGCGTCGTCATGTTTGGTTACGTGATTGGAAACATCACGTCGCTTGTCGACAACCTCAACGCGAGCGGCCGCATGCAGCACGAGCGCATCACACAGGTGAAAGAGTACATTATCGTGCGCAGTCTGCCCAAGATGACAGGTTGTCCACTTCTCTACGCTCTATCGGCAGCCCATACTTTGTAGCCAAGCGTCTTTTGGACCACTACGAGTATTACTACCGGTATCGCTCGGTCTTTGACGAAGACGCCATTTTGAAAAACATCCCAAGCATCATTCGGCACGAAGTGGTTTGTATTGTTTAGAGTGGACAATTGTCGTCCAATATTTTTATATGTAGGTCCACCATGTTCTGCGCAAGTTTGTGGCGCGCATCGACTTTCTCTCCGAGTTCCACGAAGGCCTCGTTAGCGACATGGCGGTCGCGATGCACCCGTTCTTCGTCGTCAAGAACGAGAGCATTTTCGTCCAGCACGAGATCGCAGCCCATGTCTTCTTTCTCATGAAGGGTATTGAACCATGTACCTTGCGTCCACATGATTAGCATCAAACTAGGGTCGGCGACGCTCATCAAGTCGTACGTGAATCAAATGGGCGAAACCGAGCTCATGCAGCTCTCACCCGGCGTGCACTTTGGCGAGGTCGAACTCTACCACCCGCGCTTTGGCCGCGGCGTACGCCTCTGCACGGCCATGGCCAAGACGTACTGCGAGCTCACGTTTCTGTCGCGTCAAGTGATTGCCACCATTGGTATAGAATATCTCGAAAAATGCACATAAAATGACAACTATTCCATAGGCGAAACGTGGCCTGAAGTGCTGACGCACTTTGAGAAAACCGCGAACAGCAAGGTCCGCTTCATGGCCAAGCGCGGGCAACTCGACGAGTTTAACACGATCTTGGACAAGAAACCATCGGCGTCGAGTCTCCGGCACCGACGCATGGTCAACGCCGCCGTACCCTGCCATGCGGTATTAGCTAGCCCATTCACTGTATGCATAGCGGTCCTCGCCACTGGCACGACGCGACGGCATGTCGCTGCCGCTACCGGCGTTCGCAGCCCTGCCGGCGATCGACGGCCTGCAAGGCGTGGACTACGGTTCAGCGTCGTCGGACGACAGCGGCGACGACACCGATGACGTCAGGCGCGTCAGCAGTTCGTTCCAACTCGACACGCAGATTGCCCGGATCCAAACTGCGATTCGTCCGCTGGTCAACGAGCAAAAGGTACGAGTCGTCGTTCAAAGTGATACACTTGGCGACTAGGCGTTGTAGCTGGCGCATCAAAACTGGGTCGTCCACCCCCACGACACATTCCTCATCAACTGGCAGCTCACGGTCGCGACGGGTATCATTTACTCGACCATCATGGTGCCATATCGCATTGGGTACTGCACTCGCGTGTCCTCCATCTAGAACGAATACGTTGTGTAGCTTCAACTCGGACCCGTCCGGACAAGGGCTCGCAGTCGACCTCCTTGTGGACTTCATTTTTTTCATCGATATTCTCATTTCGTTTCGGACCGCGTTCTACACGGCCGAGCACCAGCTCGTGTACCAAGCAAGGACCATCATGTTTGGCTACTTGCGCGGCTGGTTCTTGATCGACATCATCTCGACCGTGCCCATTGACACGATCGGCGGGTGCGTCCTCAACGTGTACTCTTTTCAGTGGTTCCAACATGGACCAACCTAGTCTCTTCTTGTCCACGGCCAGTTCGGCCAAGGTGCTCTCGTCGACGAAAATTCTGCGCATTTTCCGCATCGCGCGCATCTTCAAGCTCATTCGGCTCCTCAAAATTGGCAAAGTGTTTGGCCGCGTGCGCGATGCGATCCAGGTTCGCGTCTGAAATGGTCATCGCCCCTTCTGTGAGGGGTATACGTAGCTGAATCCGTCGAGCGAACGGCTCTTGAAGCTGGTCATGATCATGGTGCTCTTTGGGCACTGGAACGGATGCATTTTTCACTTTATTATGCTCCAAGAGGAAGATCTCGGGTGCGCCACTCGCCCTCTAGAAATGAACTTTTACTTGTTTAGGTTGCGAACGTGGTGCACGGAATATTTTTCCCGAAAAACGAAGACCCGGGGCTGTGTTCGAACCGCGTCGCACTTGCTGATCGGTACTTGGCGTCGATTTACTGGGCCTTTACGACCATGGCGACTGTCGGGTTTGTCGAAATATAGTTTGGAAATCGTGTTGACAGACAGTGCGTGTAGCTACGGAGATATCCACCCGTACCGGTTCTCGGTCAGCGAAATTCTGTTTACGATTGTGTGTCTCTTGGTCAACTCGACGATTTACGCCTACGTCGTGAGCGGCATCATCGAGGTCATCTACAACTACGACCCGAGCGCGCGCGAATATAGCAGCCGGCACAACGCGATGAAGGTACCGCGGTATGTATCAATGTATCAATACACCGACCTCAACGTAGGATTACGTGCGCGAGTCGGGGCTCTCGGCGCGATTGAGCCACAACGTGCGCCACCACTACGACTACCTCCTCTCGACCATGTGTCTTTTGCCCGAAGAAAAGTCGGCCTCCGCGCACCAGTGCTATTCATTTGTATCGTTACTCTAGATCTTTAGCCAGCTGCGTCCGAGCCTGCGCTTCGACTTGGCGCGGCTTGTCGCGTCCAACACGTTTCTCACCATCAGTCTCATTGCGGGCATGGAAAAACGCTACAAGGGTATGTACATGTCAAACGAGATCCTGTGGTATTTCTAAAGGAACCAGGCTTTGTCAGCTACGCGATGTTTCTCCTCAAGCCGCAACTCGTGTTGCGGAGCGAGCGTGTCTGTCACAGCGGCAGCCCGGGCACCGAAATGTTCTTCATTTCGGACGGCGAGTGCGAGCAACTCGATAAGGACAACCGCAACGCGCGTGTTGTCGGGTACGACACCACAACTTGTGTCCTAAAATGATGACGGGATGGCTATTTTGCGTAGCGAGGGCGGGATCATCGAAGCGTACGCACTGCTCGCCCATCCGGACGAGCACTATCGAATGGAGAGCTCGGTGACGGTTCTCACAAAGTCGTGTGAGCTCTACTCGTTTGCGGTCCACGACTTTCAGTACATATTGCATCCGCCGACGACAGTGTCAATACTGTCTGTAGGACAATTGCGTCCATTTCGCCGGCGATCTCGTCCAACATGTCGTACGAACTGGCGCGGAGCATCATCCAGGACGATTTTTTGCGGCTCACCGAGCTCCAAGCCCGGCGCGTGGCGGCGGCGATCGAACACGAGAAAAAGTACCACCCCGTGGCGACCCTACCCCTTGACAACCTCCTGAACGTGGTCTTGACAACGGTTAAAGCGACGACGGGCGACACGCTCACGATGCACGTCAAGCAGACAGTCCACAAGCTGGCCGTGCAAACGAGCCACACCCCGCCGGTGGAATGAATATGTATCAAATTGATAGATCTCGTTGATGCGACGCAGGAAAAAGTTATCGTCCCAGCACTGAACGCTTCAGTTGACATCGCACCAACTGCAGGGCGCTGTGCGAGCCCAGGGCCATTTTCTACTTGATTGCATCGATCACGTCGATCGTCGGTCTCCTAGCTAGGTCGCATTTGATACACTGGATCAAACAGCGTCTCGCCACGTGATGGCGCTATCTGCCTTAAAGTTGGTCATGAGGGCGTATTCGAAAACCATACGGCCAATCACACTTGGTAGCATGCGACTAGCAGCGGTTCGATAGCGCTCACGTCGACGAGGGCGAGCGGCCTCTGCACGGAGCACTATTGTCATTGTGAGCGATGTAAAGATAGAAAGACTTCGTCGTCCTCTTGGTGTATCGAGTATCGTGATTCCCAACCGGCGCCAAGATTAGCTGCGACAAAACGCGCGGGCTAAAATTACTACTGCTAGCGCGCTTGTCGCTCAACCTCTCGTCGCTCCATGGGGTCGTTTCCGTCGGCAGCGGCCAAGCCCGAGGTCAACCCTGCCGAGGCGGCAACGACCAAGCCAAATGCGAAGAAGAACGACATGATGTACTTTGCGACCGAGCCCAACACGGTGTGCTACAACTACCTCAAGGCGATGCCGCTCCCCCGCGTCCTCGAGTTGGACGTCGGGCGCCGCCTCTTTGCGGCCCACTGCGCCGAGATTAAAAAGCGGGACGTGGTTCACGTCTACTTTGCGCTGCAAGCCAAGTGGCAAGCGCTCAAGCAGCCGAGCAGCAGCAACAACAACAACAATAGTAGCCACGACAGTAGCGGCGACGAGCTCGGATTTGACCTCGGGCGGCTCGAGGCGGCCGTGGCCAGCCTCGCCAGCACGACGAGGCTCTCAAACGCGACGATCGGCCTGCTCCGCATCGGCCTCAACGCCAACGGCTCGTTCTCCAACGAAGATGATCTGCTTAACATGATGGACGATTGCATGAAGGCGCTGCGCCTCGTCGAGGCCGAGCACTGGCCGCGCTCAAGCGCTGGGCGCGAATTCATGGGCAAGATGCTCAAGTTTGAGCTCATGCTCCGCGACGACATGGCCATGTGCTTCTTCCACCAATTCCTCGTCCAGGAGTACTCGTCCGAGAACCTCGAGTTTGTCGATACCGTCAACTCGTTCGATGACAACTACGACACGTTCTCGGAGGACGAGCAGGTCGCGGCTGCGGCGCGCATCCTCAAGCTCTTCGTGGACGAGAACGCGCCGCTGCAGATCAATATTCCGTCCAAAATCCGAGTCCGCTTGGAGCGCAAAGTCATCAAGGACAAGGAAGCGCCCAAGGATTTGTTTCGCGCGGCCAAGAGCGAGATCGTCGCCCTCGTGCAGCGGGATTCGTGGCCGCGCTTTTTAAAAACACCCAACTGGGCCGCGTACCTCGACTACAACGAGGTTGCTGCACGGACCGCGTCGGCCCAAGCGCGTCATGACATTTACCTGGATTTCATTGGCGACGACGACTTGAGTGCGATTTTAAGCCACGAGCTCGGCCGCGAGTACCTCGGCTTGTACGTGGCCATTATGGCACTCAAGCCCGAAGGCAGCGTCGACTTTCTGCACCGCGTCACGACCTATGGCATGGTCCAGAACGAAAAGGAAGCCGAGGAAATGAAGCACGAAATCTTCGCGCGGTACTTGGGCCCCAATGCGATCGCGCCCGCGCGCTGCGTCCTGCCTGCAACGATCGCAGCGATCGCAGCGCAGCTCGAGACGCACAAGGGGCCGACGCTGTTTGATATGGCGGCGACCCAAGTGCGAAGCTACCTCGAGGAGCAGATGGTCCCGCAGTTCAAGCGCAATGGCATGTACGCCAAGTACCGCGTCTTGGTGGGCCAGAGCCAGCCGATCAAGAGGAAAGGGTCACTTACCCAGGCCGTCGACAAGCGACCACGACCGCTCTAGCCTCTCTAAATATGGATGCACTTAACCACCATGTCGAAAGATCCGCGTGTAAAACATTCAAAAAGACAAGCATGGGTACTGTTCCGCCACAAGGTCGGGCATGGGCTAGCGTAGCAGGATACTGATTGCACTCATTCCTAGTCGCAGCGCTTGGCTTGCTTGTCGAAAGACCTTATGCAGCAGGCGGAAAAGCCAGAAGTAGTGATGAAGATAATGAGTATTACGGCGCCATCTCGGCTTCCTTGATGGACTTTTCGACGGCCGCCAGCTTCTCCTCGACGCGGCTCTTCTTCTTGGTGCGCGCGGCCTGGTTGATCTCCTTCAGGCGCTCCTTACCAGCCGACTTGACGTCGGCCAGCATGATGGACGAGCCGGATTGGAGCACGCGGCTGGCCATGATCTGCTCAATGTTGTTGTTGATAAAGCCTGTGACGGACTCGTCACCGCGGCGCTTGAAGCCGTTGCAGCCACGGCGCACCTCGGTCGTCGGGTCTACGCCAAAGCCCTGAGCTTACTACATGTCGTCGGACGAGCCAAGAACATACTGCCTTTCTTGGTAAACTTGGCCGCCGTCTTCTTGTGGCGCGTCTCGACCTTCTTCTTAGCCGGCTTGGCCTTGAGGTTCTTAACGTTCTTGTGCTTGAGAGCGGTGCTGCCTTGGGCCATGATGGAGGATGATTGAGTTCTGGCCCAAATGTAGCCACCAAGCACCGACCGGAAGTTGTGATTGGCAGAGAATTTAAATGCAACGCGATGATTGGCTTAAAGGTAATAGCAAAGGCCATTGGCTACATTTTAGCCAATGGCATCTCGCGAATTGCCACCGTGCCGTGGCAGCTTCCCACGGCCCCCTGCACCGCGCGTCCGACCGTATACGACACGGGCTGTGCTACCTGGCGGCGTACCGGCATCTCCAGCTACTGTCGCAGCACTGGTCCCCCGCCGTCGTCCAAGATTTGAGGGAATGGATTGATGCAGCAGCATTACATGGGTGTTGCGTGGTGTGATGGTGGTACCTTGGCCACATCGTACGCTTCTACAGCCGCTTCATCCTACAGGGTCACCAAGGATGGTAGCTAGGAAGGAAGGCGCTACTGCAATGTGGACGAACAAGGTGCGAGTGGTTTCACGGTGTATCTATCGAAGGCGTCGTTGGGGCCACTCGGATTGGCTCGTCTTGTAGCAGTAAGCGACGTCCCGCATTCTGATTGGCGCATAGTGGTGGATTTCAGCCAATGGCCTTCTGGCTCGTTCCAGCTTCCGCACAACGCAAAAGTTTCCTCGGAAGGGGCGCCGACGATGCTCCGACGCCACGTCAAGAGCTCGACCAAGAAGACGGCCAAGACGCGTAGGCTCATGGAGGACCTCCGCGAGTCCGGCGACGGCACGTACATCATTCACACCAAGCGCCACGGCGACGTGCTGCACTCGGACCTCGACTACTACGCCACGGACGGCGGCTACGACGACGCCGCGGCCGGTGATGCATACGACCTCCAAGAGCCCATCGGATGGCTCAACTGCGAGTGCTTTCTGTCGCTGCTGCTCGTTGGTGTCCTTGTCGCGCTGCCGTTCAACCTACATAGCACCAAAGGTACACATATTACACCGCTTGCACATCACGACGGACTGGACTCGTACGCAGATTTGCTCCAGTCACGCGAGACGTACCTCTTCCAAGCCGCCGAAATGGTCAAGGTCGGCGCCTGCGACGACGCCATCATGCTCTACGAGCGCGCACTCGTCGTACAAGAAAACGCCTTCATCCACAACCAGCTCGCCGACGCGCTCTCGAAATGCGGTCGCACGAACGATGCACTCGACCACTACCTCAGCGGCATTCGCCTCGAAGAGACGCACCGAAGAAAGGTGCCGTCGCTCATCTCGATGGGCGATTTGTACCAAAAGATTGGCGAGTACGCGCTGGCCGTCAAGAGCTTTGATACCGTCGTCCTCATCCTTGGCGACTCGAAAGAGGCCAAGTCCAGCGAGCTCGGCGAGATCCACATCAAGCTTGCTAAAGCGGCGACCGGGATGGGCGACTACGAACAAGCGCTGCGTGCGTATGCATCCGCGACGTCGCTTGTCTCGGGCAACGCTCTCATTGCCGAGGTAGTTCCTTCTTCTTTGCCTTCTTTGGTCAAGGCGTGTGTGCCTAGGTACACTACCGCATGGGGCACTGCGCCAGCATTCTCGGGCGCATGGACGTGGCGGTCTCGGCGCTCAAGAAGGCAGCGGCGAAAGCGCCATCGAGTCAAAAGTCGCTCTACTTGCACGAACTCGCCTACGCCTATTTCGTATGGCCTCATCTTGAAACATTGATACAAAGCCAAGGTGCATGCTAGGAGAGCGGCGACTTTGAGAAAGGCAACGACGGTCTCAGCCGTCTCTTTGTAATGCAATCCATGTACCCCGAAGATCGGTACGTCAAGGCGGCGTTCCACGACCACGGTTTCCCGCCGACGCACCGCGCGCCGACGCAGTACATCTCGACGACGTTCGATATGCACGCGCATCGGTCAATGCACCTCGCGTCCGACGCGCTGGACTCATTTCTTGCATTTCGCCAGCTCCATGGGCTCTTGTTTGTGGACTCTGTGCCGACGCGGATCGCCGAGGTGCTGCAGGCCAAGCTCGGCGTGACGCCGGGGGATCACTGGCTGGACATTGCCGACTTTGGCACGGGCGCCGGCGTCGCGATCCGCCTCTTCCAGCCGCTTGCCAACTACATTATGGGCATCGACCTCTCGGCCGCGTCCGTAGAGCTCGCGCGCCGCAGCCACCTCTACGACGACCTCCAGGTAGTACATTTTTTAGATTGGTTTGGATGTAGAAACCAGCACATCGGTGGTAGGTGGGTGATCTCTTGACGGTCGCCGCGACACTGCCCAGTGCGACCTTTGATGTCGTGCTGGCCATGAACAGCGCGCCGTACTTTGGCGACCTCCGCCCGGTACATTCCTTGCAGCATCATGGACTTTTGGTGCCATTGCAACTATCGACAGGTGCTCGAGCGTGCGCTCCGCTTGCTCCGCGTCGGTGGTCTCCTGTGCATCAACTTGGATCGGCTCGAGGAAGATGAGGCGGCGCCGTACGTCCTGCGCTTCACGGGTCGATATGCACACGCGCCCGCGTACCTCACCGAGGTTCGATCCGAAGACCGTTTGCATGGCGTCATATGCATGGAATAGCTCGCGGCCGAGCTGCACCTGGAGGTCTTCCACCACGAAGCGGTCCATGACGTCCAAAGCGTCGGCCAGTCGGTTGCGGGAACCGTGGTTGCGCTGTCGCACCCGAGACCGGTCGCCAGTGACCTCTTCTTCTTGCGCAAGACCAAGGACGACCTCTCGGCACTCTAAACAACGCGCGTGTCCTGACTTCTCCGCAAGCCACGTCTTCTTGCGACGTTAAGAAGGGAGAAGAAGCGGTTGTCGCGATGGATATCAGAGCCCACCACCGACGGAATTGCGCGCAGATACCACAGACGATGCGAAGTACGGGCGCCAGAAGGTTCCATGGAGTGTTGTAATGGCCCCTTGGTTGGTCGTGGGGCTAAGAAGACAGCCTGACACGTTGGAAAATGGAGAAGGCAGGTGAGGCTTCTGCTCGCGTGTTGCCGAGACCTTCCGGACGTTGCAGTACCTGCAACCGGCGAGCAACATTGACGGGGGTGACGCGAGCAGCAGTGCGGGACCTCTTTATGGTGTGGTCCTCGTGGTAGTAGACCCTAATCCTAGCAACGCCCTCGTCGATCGGAGGTTGTCCGCCTGGTAGAACGACTGCCGTCGGAGCTGTGGTTGACATCCAGCGTCTTTAATTGCAGAATCTATCACCTCTGGACAGCGTGGCGAGTCAGTACATTGTAGATGTACGTTGGGTTCATTTCCGACTGCCATCGCGATCGTGAGTCTCAATGACAAGTTGGGTCTGTGGATATCTCCTCCGTGGCCAGCGCGTCGACGCGACGTATTTGCTGCTCATCGCGGATTGCGTTTCTAGAGTCATACTGGTACTTCTCTACTGCCTCGGCGCACGCAGCGGGCACGGCCTGGATGTCGACGCTTGTCGCGCCACGTCATCGATAAAAAGGCGAAAAATACCAAAAATGCCAAAAGCACATGTGTTGCGCGCGTGGTTGCTTCGGTGTGACTGCCTCCTGCCTCCTGGCTGCGTACGCCTTGTAACTGCGTTGCAGCGTCCCGTTCAACTATCACGCTCCCGAGTGACGCTGCACCCTGTCGTTATAACACCACGTGCAATCGTTCAACGAGACGTGTGCGGTGTATATATATATATGCCAAGATGCAGAAGCGCGGTCATGTCGTCCGAGATGCTCGATCTCTCGGATTGGTAAACGCCTTGGTCCTTCCAACGTGTCACAATATTGCAGACCACTTGCCGTTTGAAGGATTCCCGGGGATGCCACGACTGTTATAACACGTTTTTCCCGTCGTGCACGCTGCGGCATCGAGCCCGCGTACGTCAAAAAGCTGCAAGACGCAGCTTCAACCTGGGCTTCTACGGCGTGGATAGGAAGGCGTCGAACGACTCGTCACGCTCTACTTGGCGCAGTCGGAACGCGCGAACGGCTCCGGATGTTATAACTCGCCGGGTGGCACTTGGCGCGCGCGTTCTGATTGGCCAAAACTCGTTCGACGCTAGGTCACAAGCGCCACCATAATAATTCCGGCGGCCGACGACGAAGATGGAAGTCGGGGTCGGCGTCTGGATCAAGGAGGACGACGAGTGGACCCTGGCGACCGTCCGGTCCATCGCCAAGGCGTCGAGCTCCGGCCTCACAGCCATCGACGTCGAGGTCCAGGGCCGCGGCCACCTCGCCATGGACGTCAACATTGCCGCGATTGAAGACGCGACCGACGAGACGATCAAGCTCGCCAACAACTACGACATGGTAGCCGCCTCCGCCCAAGCCTCGCCTCATGGAATCACGTGTAGGACCTCGTCGACGACTTGATTCGACTGCCGCACTTGCACGAGCCTGGCATTTGCCATACGTTGAAGGAGCGCTTCACGATCAACGATATTTATACCCTCACAGGTCGTCGATGATCGCCACCTCTTTCGAGCTCACGCGTGTTGTGATCTAGGCGAGATTCTCTTGGCCGTCAACCCATTCCAGGATATTGGCATCTACTCGGACAAGCTCATCCGCAAATACATTCGGCACGGCGCGCTCCTCGCGCTCGGCGACGAAGAGTCGACGATGCCACCGCACGTGTTTGGCATTGCCGACTCGGCGTACCGGAGCCTCACGGCGCCGCTCACGGGTACCGCGTCCAACCAGAGCATCCTCGTGTCGGGCGAGTCGGGCGCCGGGAAGACCGAGACGACCAAGTTCATCATGAAGTACCTCGCCGCGGTCTCGCAGAACAAGAGCATGCGCAACATCAACGTCGGCCAGAACGACGTGATGAGCCAAGTGCTCTCGTCCAACCCGATCCTCGAAGCCTTTGGCAACGCCCGGACAATCCGCAACGACAATTCGTCCCGCTTTGGCAAGTTTATCCAGATGCAGTTTGATCATTACGGCGTCCTCATTGGCGCGTCGATCCAAGTGTACCTCCTCGAGAGCATCCGCGTCACGTCCCAGTCGCCCAACGAGCGCAATTACCACGTGTTTTACGAGCTCCTCGCGGGCGCGTCGGCCGCCGAGAAGGCGCAATTCGCCCTCGGAAAGCCCAAGGACTTTTACTACCTCAACCAAAGCGACTGCATCAAGCGCAAGGACGGCGTCGACGACGTCAAGCAGTTTGCGCTGCTCAAGGAGGCCATGGAGACCATGCAGTTTGAGGACGATGCCGTCGCCAGCATTGTCTTTACGGTCGCGACGGTCTTGCACATGGGCAACCTCGCCTTCCAGTCCAAGCGATCGGGCCATGACGAAGGCTCGATGCTCTTTGAGGACGACGACCGCGTCACCACGGCCGTGGGCCAAGTCATGGCGTACCTCGAGGTGGATCGAGCGTCGCTGGAAGTCGCACTCTGCACACGCAAGATTACGACCCGCGACGAGACGTACTCGATCGGCCTCCAGCCCGAGGTCGCGGACCAGAACCGCGACGCGCTCTCGCGGTATGTGTACGGGAAGCTCTTCAATTGGCTCGTCAAGCAGATCAATGCGACCATCGACCACGACGAAGACGGCGACCTCGCGGGCTTCATCGGTGTTCTCGATATCTTTGGGTTCGAAGACCTTTTGACCAACTCGTTTGAGCAGCTCTGCATCAACTACGCCAACGAGACGCTCCAAGAGCATTTCAACGCGACGGTCCTCGCCCAAGAGCAGCAGCAGTACGAGCGCGAGAAGATTGCGTGGAGCTTCGTCAACTTTCCGAGCAACCGCCCGTGCCTCGAGCTCCTCGACACCAAGCCCGTCGGCGTCTTCCACATGCTCGACGAAGAGTGCATCTTGCCCCAAGGCAACGACCAGAACTTTGCGCGGAAGCTGTATAAGACCCACGAAGCGTCCAAGTACCTCCGTGCCAACAACACAGAGAAGGCCAACCACATCTTTGCGATCCAGCACTATGCGGGCTGGGTTGCGTACGAGACGTACGGCTTTTGCGAGAAAAATAAGGACACGCTGCACTCGGAGCTCGCGCTCTTGGTCAAGCACTCGGGCAACGCGTTCTTGCGCACCCTTGTGAAGGACGAGACGCCGGCGCCGACGACGGCCAAGCACAACAAGCAGCGACAAGGCGGCATTCTAAAGAAGGGCGCGGCCGCCAAGACAAGCGTCGGGACACACTTTCGCACGCAGCTGCGGTCGCTCATGACGACGATCCAGAGCACGTCGTGCTCGTACGTGCGCTGCTTGAAGCCCAACGACAAGAACACAAAAGGCCTCTTCAACGCGCAGCGCATTTGCGACCAGCTCAAGGCCGGCGGCGTCCTCGAAGCGGTCCGCGTCAACCGCGCCGGGTACCCTGTCCGCATCACGCACGCGCAGTTTATCAAGCGGTACCGGTCGCTCGGGCCCGGCCACGTGCTCAAGCAAGTGCCCGAGTCGTTTGGGGACGAGGCCACGTCGACGCAGGCCGAGCGCAAGGTCGGCACGGACCTCCTTGTCGACTTTTTGAGCGCGTCGATTGCAGACGCCAAGTCGATCCAAGTCGGGTTGACCAAGGTGTTTTTCCGGCGGACGGCGATCCAGTCGGTCGAAGCGCAGCTCGCCAAGCGCTACGGCGAGTTTGTCGTGCTCATCCAGAGCACGTGGCGCCGCGTGATGGCCGAGCGCATGTACCAACGCGCGCGCGTCGCCGTCTTGCGTCTCCAGTCCATGTGGCGGCGCTGGCTCGCGTACCGGCGCGTGCGGGAGCTGCGGGAGAAGCTCAAGCAGCTCGAGCGCATGGAGCGGGCGCGGCGGCGCGTCGACGAGGCCGAGCGTATCAAGCGTGACGAAGCCGCCGCCGAGGAAGCCAAGCGGCTGGCGCCGCCGCCGCCGTCCGACTCGACCCGGTCGTCGCTCGACATTCAGTCGGACGACGACGACGGCGACGACGAGGACACGATCCGTCAAACGACGGGGCGGCAAGGCCCGTACAAGTTTCGGTTTACAAAGGACTACAACCACGGTGTCGACCAAGATCTGCGATACCTCCAGCAAGAACCGCGGGTCGTCGAGAAGACGCCAGGCGACACCGTGCTGCACCTCGCGGCCAACTGTTGCAACGAACAAGACGTGTTTACGCTGCTAGAGAACGGCGCGTCCGTGCTGGCCACCAACTCGCTCGGGCGCACGCCACTGCACACGGCAGCGATGCACCACAACCTCGAAGTCGTCGGGCTGCTCATCGACTGGGACTCAGACCTCTGCGCGCCGGATATCAACGGCAACACGCCGCTGCATCTCGCGCGGGATCCGCACATCACCCGCATGCTGCTCGAGGCCGGTAGCAACCCCAACATTGTCAACGACGCGGGACGGACCGTTTTACTGGAAGCCACGGACCGTGGCGACCTCCACGTCGTCCGCGCGCTTCTCAACTACCACTGCGACGTGCTCTACTGCGAGCCCAAACACGGACAGACAGCCCTGCACCTCGCGGTCCGGAAGGGTCAGTACACGATCATCAACGAGCTCTGCAAGACCAAGATGATCCGGGAACTCATCACCAAGCAGGACCGGAACGGCAACAACGTGCTGCATTTTGCGGTCGCAAAAGACCGCAAAAACGGACCGCGCTTGTTGCAGTTCCTCCTCCAACACGGCGCAGTCGCCACGGTCGACACGCCGAACGCTCGGCACCAGACGCCGCTGGTCGTCCACGTCATGACGACGCGGCAGACGGACCCGACGATCGCCGAGATCTTGCTCGAAGCCGGCGCGAGTCCGTCCGTTGCGCTCCTAGATGGCTCGACGATGCTCCACGTGGCCGTCGAGCGGGACCTCCTCGACGTGGCGTGCATGCTCATCAAGTACGGTGCGCAGCTCAACGCGACGGACAAGGACGGCGTCCGAGTCATTGAGCTTGCGCAGCGGGACAACGCGCGGCTCAAGAAGCTCATCAACGCGATCACGTCGCCGCCGCTCTGGATGAGCGAGAAGGAGAAGAAGAGCTGCATGGTGTGTCTCCGGTCGTTCAAGTTTGGCCACCGCCGGCACCACTGCAAGCACTGCGGCCGCGTCTGCTGCACCGAGTGCGCGTCCTTTCATATCGAGCTGTACAAGTTCCCGGCCAACTTTCCCGGCCGCGTCACCTCCGGCGGGAAGCCCGTGATGGACAACCAGCGCGTGTGCCGGACCTGCCACGGCGTCTTCAAGCTCCGAAGCGTCAAGAACGAAGCGAAGAACGGGTTCCTTGCCCGCGTGCTCGGGTACGAGTGGGACGAGGTGACCACCGCCAGCTCGCGGCCGTCCCAAGCCAGCTCGGGGCGCCCGAGCCAGCCGGGCAGCACCGGGCGACCGAGCTCCGGCCGACCGAGCTCGGGCCGACCTAGCTCGGGGCGACCGAGTCAGCAGACGACGGCGTAGAGTAGATGTAGACACAACCAAGTTAAACCAAAGAAGGCTGTCAATGTACTTTATTTGGCTCAACGAGATACCGATCCGTTGGCCGAAAGATCGCGATATACGGAAGCGTCACGATGCTGAGCTCGCAGCTAGCGTACCTCCAGGCGCACGGTGACGGCCTCGTGGGCTCACTGCGGCGGGCCATGGCGCCGCTCACGAATGCGTCGCTGCCACCCGAGATGGACCGCCTCCGCAAGGCACTTGCGAAAGCCTACCCGAGCCACGGGCTCGAGAAAGAGAAGGACATGGAGCTGCTCACGCAGGCCAAGGCGAGCCTCGGTCCGGCGCTCCACGAGCTGTACACGACCACGTCGATGCTGCTGGACTGGAAGCTCGCGGCCTTGAGCGTGCTTCGCAGCGTCTGCGTCGACTTTTCGACTCTGCACGTACGGATCTTCGGAAGATGCATCGCTTGACCGCTCGTATTAGTTTGGCGTCCACCCGGAGCTCATGGGACGCTTCCTGCAGCTGTTTGCGACCTACGTCAAGCTGCACGTGCTCTGGGCGACGCAGGTCGACGTCCGCGGCTACCTCGGCCTCCACGGCGCGCTCGACCATGCCGTCGAGTCGTTTGTGCTTGGCTTTGCCGAGCATCCGTGGCGGGCGCTGCAGACGGAGCTTAAGGACGAGATCGCGCCCAAGCTCGGCCCGCTCGTGTGGTCGGCCTACGAAGCTACCGCGGGCTCGCGGGACCTCCTTGCACTGCGCAACCAAGGCTGCTTTGACCTCGAGAAGGCCGCCATTGGCGTCTTGGACCATGCGGCGGTACATGCGTGCCAAACTGGAGTGGCGCGTGGCCACGTCCGTGGGTTCTGTAGGTCTACGAGCACCTCATTTCCCACGACGCCATCGATGAATATGTCGTCTTGACCGCCTTGACGTGTCCTCGTAAGCATCTCGCGACGTATATGGTGCAAATGGTGGTGTCTCTAGAGGAGCTGGCGCAGCCACGGGGCATGGCCGCATTTGATGCAGTTGGCAGCACGCTGTTCGGCCTCGTGCTCGCCGAGGACCTCGTCTGTGTCTACCTCGCGACACGTCTAACGTCGAATGTAGACGCTCTCGGTGCACGAGGTCCTCGCCGATGTGGCCAAGCTCCTCGACGCCAAGCTCCGAAAGTCACTTCGGTACACGCTCCATCCGTCCGACGCCGTCCGCCTCCACTGCTTGTATTAGTCGCATTGCCAAGCGTGCGACATCGACGAGCGGGTATCGTCACGCGGATCGGCGCGCATTTTGATCTGGAGTCTCTCGAGCGTCCTGCACCTCTTGGCCCTCGACAAGTCGCTCCTCGGACCGCTCTACCCGGTACCAATCTATATAGATGCCTGCGGCTGGTAGCGAAGAGTGGGCTAGATGGTGCTGGCCATGGCGCAGGTGGGGCGCGCCGAGGTGCAGTGGTACCTCGTCCACGCCCAGCAAGCAGCGCCAGCGCACGTCAAGGCCAAGCACCACGCGAAAGCGAGCTTCCAGGACCCGCGGCAGCTCGCTTGTCTAATTTCGCTCTTGCAGCGAATGGAGGCAGCGACGCAGCCATCCCATTCGCTTGTCGAGGTGTATTACAAGCGGATGCTGGCCTCGACCGCGGTGCCCGACGTCCCCGCCGACGCGGCCGTGGACCCTCGCGTGGTCGAGATCCTCGCCGCCACACGTCCGCTCGTACTGTCGATGGACGATTGTGACGGCAGCGACCAAGCGCTCGATGCCTTTAGCGCCAATTGGGCCAAAGTGGTCGTCTACTGGAGCTGCAGCGGGGTACGGGGCAGCTGGAGAATGGGATGTCGTCATGCCTGTCTAGGTGACGGTGGACGAGCCCTTTGTCGCTGCCATGCACGCGATCGATGCCAACGCCCGCCGGGCGAATCTGTCGTGGATTGCAGCTAGCCTCGCGCACGCAACGGACCTTGGCCTGGTACGTCATGAGGTACATGGGTGCACTGACTGTCGTGTAGCTCGCGTTCTATCCATCGTCGTTGCGCAGCGCCTTTGCGTGGGCGATCGCGGAGCAGCCAGCAATGACATTAAACATTATGCACGCCGTGGCCACGCACTCTCAAGCCCTCGCCACGCGCCTCGCCGACGACTGGCTGCGGGGTCTCGAGGCGCTTCTGCGGTCGGCGTTCGAGCAAGCACTCGCGCTTGAGGTCGCACAACGGTATCCACCTCGTCGTCTTTCAGAGCTTCAATGCCATGTTAGGGATGGTGCGACAGCGTCTGGGGGACGTGCACTGCAGGCGCTTCCACTGCTCTTTGTTGCCTTGCAAACGTCCAGCGTCATTGTCCTTCAGAACGCGACGCTGGATCCGAGCACGCTCTTTGGCGCGGCGATGTCGTCCGTGCTAACGTCTCTCCTGCGGGACATGGTGGGTCCTTTCCTCGTCTCGGAAGGATCAGCGTCGGTAGGTGACGGCCATGACGCCGCCGCGTACGATGCAGACGCGGCTGCAAGTGTTTCGCCGTTGCTTTGCTCGCTACGATGGCACGATGGCCTCGCGACGGCTGCACGAATGCGCGCCTTCTTCTTCCTCTGTCGAGGACACGCAGCATGGGAATCTGCGCTTTGTCGAGGCCATGGCGCGTCTCTACCTCCGCTTTCTCGTCGCGCTGGCGCCCACCGACGACGGAGCGTGCGGTGTCCCCTTCGTCTGGCTCGATGACGGCTATGCCCGGCGCGACGGTGTGGCCTACCGAAAGCTCGACGGACTCGACGCCAACGACCTCGCGACGCCGTTGCAGCTGCAAGCACTGATCGCGATCGTCGGTGTCGACGGCTGCCACGTCCTTCAAGCAGCGATACGCGACTTTATCGGACAACACATCGCGCAGTTGCAGCACTGCCTGAGTTTGGACCGTGATGCGCTAACCGAGTTTGGCAAGAGCCTCCTCTTAGCGCCCAAGACCGCGGTGAAGCGGATGGCCACCTTGGACAAGGTACCGACCAACGCGTGTAAGTAAAGCTTTCGATCGATGACATAGGTGACGCATCACACGGCTGCAATCGGGCACGCGCTGCACTTGCACACGAGCCTCGACATGGCGTCGCAAGCAGTTGCCTTGTCGCAGGTGTCACACATCGTGGAAGGCTTGTCATTGTGATGGTATGATGTAGCCGCCGTCGCGTGGTCGGGATGCACCGGACGACGTCGTCGCCGCAGTCCAGTCGTGTGCAGGCGACGACGACTGGACGCTCCTCCCTCTCCTTTTGAGCGCGGCGATGACCAGTGCCTACTGGAAGGACCCCGAAGCCATGCATGGTATTGCCTTGTGTGCTATCGCGTTAGTGTTTCATCAAGGGCTAGGGGCACGGGCGGTGGCGTCCGCGCAGAAATTGCTCCTGCGCGTCTTTCGTCCGTCGCTCAGCGTGCCGTTGCCGCGCCACGTGAGCCCGGCACATGCCCTCGAGACGTTCGTGTTCGTCGTGGCGACGACGTTGCTGACACTGCAGCCGTCGATGCTCGCGTTCATTGCGACGGTAGAGTTTTGTCATCGTACAAGGTTGAGCCCCTGAGTGATGCCTTCTGTAGCTTGTAGCTGACGAGCGAAGCATCGACGGCGCGTTCTTGTCGGCCGTGGTCCCGCCCGCGGTCGTGGTCGCAGGTCAGAACCACCTTGCCGCTGAGCTAACCGTGCACCACGGACTGCGAGAGGAGACCCGTGTTGCTTATTAGGCCTGGACAAGAAACATTCAGTTGTCACTACATCAATACCACCTTGCAATGGCGTCATGGTCCTACTTGTCGTGGATTGAAATCTGAGACTTGAACGTCACGAGTTGTTGTTGGGATCGTGAGGGACCTTCCACTCTGCCGAGCGTGGAGGGTGTTCAAGTCTTGGCGTGATGGCGAGCTGCCGGTACGGCGGAAGAGGACCTTCTGGGGGCGGTGGGTTTGTCTCATTGCCTAGCTACTAGAACTCGGCGTATCGCATAGTTGAAACGGTCAACATGGAACACAAAACGTCGACTTAAATACTGATATATATATACTGTGATGACACTAGAAGAAGGACCGGAACCGCTCGTCCTCGCTTGAAGACGCGGGCGTCGACGCCATGGACGCCCGCAGACACTGCTCGCTGGCGCGGACTTTCAGAAGCGAGATGCGCGATTCGATTTGGTCAAAGTCGATGCAGTCGCTGGGGCTGCGGTATGCGGCGGAACCTTGCCGAAGGTGCTGGATGCGGCTCTTGAGCCCACGCGCCCCCACACTAGTGCGCTGGGATCGTTCGTGCCGCAGAAGCAGCGTCACGATGCTCGTCTGCGCGTAGAGCTGGGCGAGGTCGAGGACGCTGTCGCCGTCCAGATTGCGATGGCGCGGCGAC